GCTTAGAGCTTAGTGCCTGAGACCAGGCCGACACAAATCGGCTTGCTTCGGAAAACAAAGGTCGCGCTGATCTTGGGAGGAAACTCTGAATCTGAAAGCTTTGCTTTGAAAGGCTTCTATTCGACATGGCCACATCTTCAAATTGCGTTGCCTGCCCAGCCAGGCAGACTCAAAACCCTTTTGGCTTGTATTTTTCCCAGGCGTCCCCCCAGCTTGAAATGGTTTGCAAGGGTCCCGTCAAACTCATTCATGACACTGTTATATGTTCGTACTGCGTGTCGTCATGCCTTTGGCATTTCCGTTTGTTGGAACAGCCGTTTAAATCTGAAGACTAAGCAGTTTTGTGTCAAGGTCCCCTCCTGAAGCACCCCTGGCTATGTTAGCCCAAAACTCGGTACCAAGTGTCTATGCCAATGTTTCACGCAATATTACAAACTGCGCTGTTGTCACTTCGCCTTGGCTTTGCTGGCTGCTTGCAGCTACAGTAGCTGACAAAACTATTATTGTGTCATTGTGCTTTTTCTTTCGCGGATCGCTCAGTCACTTGCAGCTTCAGTAGCTGACAAAACTTTCAGTCACTTGCAGCTTCAGTAGCTGACAAAACTATTCTTGTGTCATGTGGCACACGTGTCTCCCAGTGTGCTAACAAGCCATGCAAAGTCAAAACCCCTGATGCAAACTAAACCCCTGAACCACAGGAACGCACGATGTAAATGAGTGATGCAATGGTTAGGGCCTAGCTCATCACTCCAGACCTCTTCCCCTACATCATCGGAGCCTTGGGCCCCCTCTGGGTCATCCGGTCGGAGCACAGGGTACTCCATTCCTGCCGCAGGCCTAGGATCCTCCGACCCTGACGCTCGGGGCTCCGCACTAGGACCTGACGCAGGGGCCGGCATTCCATATTTGGGTCCAACAGGAAACCTGAAGATCGGGACACAGTGATCTACTCGATTGGCAGCAACGCACAACTCTCGATCAACCTCAACATGAATTAGGACGTTGGGCGGCACCAGAAAAGGCAAAGCGTCAGGGGTCCAAACAAAAGAGAAACCCTCAGCCACCAACTGCCCGACTGACAGCGCCATTGGGCAGCTCTTCAGCATGTAAGTGTTCAACACTCTACCCAACTCCTCAACCCAAAATCCGACCGTTTGGTCACCTGCCTTTTGACCTCCACCTGTCAAGAAACTCAGGGGTTTGGAAGTTGATCCAATCCAAGGGTTGACAAAATCCTCATCAATCCCTTGCTCAGACAAAGCACTCAAAGATCCGAGGTGTTCCCCGGCACCTGAGTCGGCAATGAACTCAACATACCTAGTCGAGCCCAACGGATGTCCTGTGACCGCCGGAATGGTGGCCACCGCAGTAGCGAGGGCAACCATTGCCTTCACCACCGCATTTCCCCCGTGTCCTGCGTTGGCCTTGGGCGCAGCCTTCCCCTTGGCCTCGGCCTTAGGGTGAGCTGCCGCAGCGGGAGTGTTGTCCTTGTGCTCGAAGGGGCAGTCAGCGCCTCGCCTGCACATGCCTCGACTGTGATACACACAAACGCCCTTGGGTACGTCTGGTGTTCGGTTGGAACCGGCAGCATCAGGGGATTTGCCACCCTTGGAACCGCTCTTCCCTTTACCCTTGTCCTTTCCTTTGTTGCCACTACCTTTACCGTCAGCTCGTTTTCCCTTACCTCCATCCTTGCCTTTGTTCTCAGGTTTGGAGTCTCCTTTGAAACCAGGAGTAGCTGGGACGTTCTTGATACTCGGCTTGGCAGGGCCTTTGCGGATGTCGTCCTGAATAGAGGCAGCATTCGCATCTTGTTGATACTCATGAATAGTTCTCTGCAATCGTTCCCACAAGAACCCAAAAGTTCTCTCTCTTGTGCCTTCTGCTGAGTCTCGGATTTGATCTATGTATCTTCTCAAAGGACCAACCCGTTTGAGACGCTCGAACAACCACTTCGACATCATGCGGTCTGGGGGTCGCTCATGTGAAGGCAACTGATTCAAAATGTACGAGACTTTGTCTCGCCATGCCTTAAGGGCCACAAGAGAGTAACCATCAGGCGCTCCAAGCTGAAACAACTCAATCTCGGAGATTACACTCCCAAAAGTCCTGTCGGGGTCAAACTCTCGGACGATCGTGTTGAGCAGGAAGCGTCCTCTCATACCATGGCCTTCAGTCTGACATCCCTCAACATACGACTGCAGCTGAAACCCAAAGATACTCTTCAAGTGTTCCGGTCTCGTCAACGCTGCGGCCAGCATGCGATCGAACCTCGGGAAGTCACCCGACGACAGCTTCAACTCTTCGACTCTTCCCTTTTGCAACCACTCATTCAAAAGTGCCTCAGCAGACAAATCATAGCTCAACAGCATCGTGATCACTGAGTTCTTCCATGACCTGAATGAGCCAGCTGTTTCTGGGAGTGCAGGGATTCGAAGATTTGACAGGTCTTTGATCTTGATAGTTCTCCTTTCAAGATCTGCCGCCTCATCACTTGCCCTAGACTTAAGGTCATCGTCTCCAACCCTACAAGAGTGGAACGACGGCGGGGCAGAGGGGGCAGCATCGCTCCTACCCGCGCGAGGCGCTGGGCTAGGAGGAGGGCCGTCCCGATCCCCCGAGGCCATCCTGTAGAACTGAGCTCCACCTGACAGCACTGGATCCTCAGTCGAAGAAACCTTAGTCGGTGGCTTGGGCAATGGTGGGGGTTTCCCGTCCTGAGCCTTTAAGGCTGGATCTTGATCAGCATTGGCCACAAGATCCTCAGTCCACCAATCGTCCTGCCGTTGGGCAGCGTCCTCATCGGACCAAGCTTGCACCACATTTCGGACGCAAGTGATCTCATCCTGGCATTCACGAACCTGTGCACTGAGTTGCTCAAAGGCAAACTGGAATGCCTCGAGTCGGGTATTCAAGGAACTGAACTCTTTGTCAACCGCTTTCTCAATCGTTTCAATCCGGCTCCAAACATCCGTGCCATTATGCTCACCGGCTTTCGACGAAGGGGTTTGTTGGGATACAGTCAACAGGTTAGTCCTTAGCGTGTCAATCTCATCTCTCATGTTCTTCTCACGATGTTTGGCCATCTCAAGTTCGTTTTGCAAACGTCCCACCATCAACTGAGCCTCGTTTTGAACGGAAGACACAGCCTGCGAGGCTTTGGCCTCTGCCGCCGACCTGTGTGCATCAACAGCTTCACTAGCCGCTCTCAACAACAACTCAGGATCGGCCCCAACCTGTACATCTTGGTTGCACGTGTGGGTTTGGCGGGCGTCATGGAATATCGAGGTTTCATTCCTAGTCAGGTGAAGTGACCGTGCATCAAGATCCACCTGCATTGCTGTCGAACTCTGAGGCTCATCGCGGGCTACCTCGACCGAATCATGGTCGGGCAGCATCTGCCTACCCCGAATCCTGTCCTTGGTGGACAAGGATCCGCTCCGAGGCCGGAGCACCTGAACCCTTCTCCGACTATCGGAGCTGCTGGAGCCGCCGCTCAGTGTTCCCTGAGTCCTAGCCACAGCTCCCAGCACCTCCCCGGTCGACGACGAGCTAATCTCTAATTCTAGATCACTCATTCACTAAACTCCACCGAGTCACTATCACGGCTTCTCCAGGCGCTCCCAGTCGGGCTCGGGGCGGTCCGCGGTGAGGTTGAGTGACGACACCTGTAAAAGTGCCTGTCTCAGCAAGGAAATAGCAGTAACCTCTCCCCCGAAACCGGTAACCACGTGTTCCCCGAACCGGTTTGTTACAAGGAACTTCCTTGTGACTGGGGCGTGACGGACAGCGCTCTTGATGCAGTCTCCCCCGTCGTCAACGAAGAAGTGAGCCTTATGGTGGGCGCAAAACCTCCCTTTGTCCTCTCTGCGAAGCTGTGAACCCCAATGTACGTCAGGACGCACAACTGGCGGTTCTCCTCAGCGCGCAGGAAGTGGAGCACGTCTCGCACAACCTGAGCCGGAACGCCTCGGCTGTGACGGGTATCGGCGTGTTCCCTATCCAAGACCCCGTGGAAGTCTATGACTCCTCGGATCACATCGCGAACCGCAGTCACTCCCTCCGACCGCCCCGCCGCCGGCGTCACAGGCGCCGGGGCTGGGCGCGGCCGGGGAGCCAGAAGGCCAACTTCCTGAGTGGTCAGGGTACCAGGTGCCGATGCCTTAGAGTAGGGAGCCGGACGGGTCTTGGCCTTTGGTACAGCAGGCGAAACCTTGGGTCGAGGCGGTTCAACAGGTCGAGCCTCAGTTCGAGGGGGTTCGAATTGGAATGGTTCCTGATCAGGTATCACAATCGTTTCAACCTCCTCCGGGACTGCCAACTCGGGCCTGGGCTCGCTATCAAAGATATACAACTCGCCCGGATCCGATTCCGTCTTCGACCCTTCTGAAGCAACCTCTACCTCGATCTCCACGAGATCTTCAGCCTGGTTACCTGGACCTGGAACAGGGATAACTCCCGAGCGGGACCCAACCGACCGAACCTCAAAGGTGTTCCTCGTAGGCACCGGTCGTGCCCCGGAGCCAGAAGCTTCGGCCGAACCCGACTCCCGGTCCTGCAGCGCAAATGCCGGGCGGTTGCCTTGCACCGGCACGTAGTCTCCGGACAAGTAGAGCGCCCGCAGTTCTTTGGAGCGGCGGGTTTTCTTGCCCGCGCGCTCCCGCCGAGCCAGCGGCGGGCCGCGAGCGTCCGCCGTTGCGGCGAAGGGATGGCGCCTCTAAGGCCTATGTAAAGGGGCCTCCTACGGCTGATAACCCCGTTTCGGAGCAGTATGCACCTTTTATATCAGCCTTGAGCCAAACACGCAGTACATGGCTCTTTGGAGTGAGGGTGTTTTACCTACTCCTGGAATTGGGGTATTGCCCCTATCCCAAAACGTGACCTTGAAGAGGCAAGTCCACATAAGCGAGCTCCGGATTGGACGCTGCTGCGGAACTCGGTTCAGACTTCTTAGGGATAAAGTTCCCTTGACCGCGCTTTCTGTTTCTTCCCCCGTGTGCCTAGCTTGGCAGCAGCGGCCTGCAATGCTGGCGCCTGCGTTCAAGCGAAAGATGGGATGAGAGAATGAGAGGGCGAAAGACAGAGCGAGCGGAAACAAAACAAAAGATAAACAAAAAACACAAGAACAACAGAAACAACAAAGTGGAAGCAATGAACACGAAAGACAGAAAGAAACATAGAAACTAGAAAGAAATAAACAAAGAAAGAAACACATAAATAAAGGAATAAACACATCAAGAAAGACAGAAGGACAGAAGGACAGAAGGAAAGAAGGAAAGACAGAAAGAAAGAAAGAAAGACAGAAAGAAAGAAAGAAAGAAAGAAAGAAAGAAAGAACGAAAGAAAGAAAGAAATGAATAAATACAGAAAGGGAACAACAACAACAACAACAACAACAACAACAACAACAACAACAACAACAACAACAACAACAACAACAACAACAACAACAACAACAACAACAACAACAACAACAACAACAACATCAACAACAACACCACCACCAACAACAACAACAACAACAACAACAACAACAACAACAACAACAACAACAACAACAACAACAACAACAACAACAACAACAAACACCAATAGGGGGCCCTCGCTTGCTCGTTGCCACGGGAAACTACAACATTGAAGGTCCCATGTTCCGACCATACAACCAGCTTCTCAGAAAGACGTCCGACAGCCTTGAGAGGAAATGCGGTAGAGCCCCGGACAATATTGCTAGCTCCCCATGAGGACACGAGACAATTGGGTTGCCCCCCGGTTTTCGTTATGGGGAGTTGGGTGTCCCAAGTCCCTCCGCATTCTCCCCAAACCAACATGACTCATATGACAACATAAAGGATGCATACTACATCCCACATTGCACCTCAGGAATAGTTGCTGCAGGTAGTGGATACTCCCCTTAGGGATACTACTCCCTAAACTTATACCAACAACGGGTCAAGTAAAATTTGATGGATTCCCGAGCAAATGCAAGTGCTTTTGCAAGGATTGCTATGGGACCTACCTACGATTAGAACCAAGCTGGAATCTGAGGACACCATCCATGTTCAACCACTCCCTGCAATCAAAACGGACACTCAGAGTGCTGTCAGGGGTCATTTCACAACCTAATCCAGTTTGGGTCCCAATGAAACTTCCTGCTTCTGCGGGTCCAAACAAGCATCGCAAAGGGTCCAAGTGCTGAATATGTCTGGCTTTGTGGTTGGTTCAAGGGGCATGTAGTCAATTCCACATGTCCGAATTCACAAAAATGAGGTGCTACCGAGCCTCTAAGGTGTCCAAGGCCTGCTCACGGGTCCCGCCTCGAATAAGGACCGGATCATGCGATAGTTCCTCGGCATGTGCTGCAGGGGTGCTCTCGAAATGTGAAGGATCCCTGTGCTTCAGGGATGTGTGGCTCAAAAAAAAAACGGAGCTTGGAATGCGCAGTGTTCAGTCTTTGGTTCCATTTACCAAGGTGCCATGTTGGTATTTTTGTGAGCCACAGCCAGTACCCCCAAAAATAAGGCCCTGGTGGGTTGGGATGAGTACGGTCCTTGAAACTTGACACGTTGACATTTGACTAAGCTGCCACCCTAAACAATCAAGTTCCCCTCCCAACAAACATGGTGCACAGACCCTCAGACCCCCCTTCTCCTTGGAAGACTATGTTCCTTAAAAAAAAAGCCTGGAGTTTGTTGCCGGGAGGGGACGGCATGACCTCTGAAACCAACAGGAAAAACTAGACAAGAGTCCCTCTCATTGGTGGCTTGGATTGGTGGCTTGGAGCTTAATTCGGGGGTGACGTGTTCCGTGGTAGATCGATTCCGAGGGGCATGTTGATCACCATCACTTGCTCCGGGAAGGAGGCCAGCTGTTCCAGGTCAGCCTGCATGAGGTCTTGGGGTGCGTCGAAGGGCCTTGCCTGTTCCAAGGGCTAGGGCTATGCAACAATGGGTCACGTTTAAACCTAAACCCCAGCCTTGAAACATACTTCCCCTTCTTCATTTGCGTCAAGGCCAACAAAAATGCATGGCCCAAGGTTGATCCCAGACAAGGCCACACAAATCCAGGCGTTCTCTATATTTCCCTCCAAAGCATCACCCCTGTTCCCCGAGAAGCACAGCCTAGGCGCCCAAAGGCTGCCGTTTGAAGCCCACCTCCCGCCTCAAAGAGCTGGCGCTTGTCGTGGTAGGAGAAGTGCCGCAGCCCCGCCTCGGAGTTGAGTCGATCGGGTTCCTATTTCTCACTTTGAGTGCATTGGCCAAAAAGTCCACACTTGTCATGTACCACCAAAATGGCCTTGCCAAAAAGGCATAAAGTCCAGGAGCTGTTGGATTTGGATGCTCGATTTGCCAAGATAGTAAAGTGGCGGTTAGCCACCTGGGCTAAATCACCCTGTGACTGGTGGTTAACCCCACTAGTGGGAGGCTTATAACTTGGCTTAGATCCCAGGCTGCTGACAACTTGCGAACTACAGGGAGAACAGCAACATGTTTTTGGGGGGATGCCCCAAGCATGCAAGAAACACACAAATGCTTGGAACCTATTCCGCAAACCCCCACTGGATTGCCATGTGACAAAAAAAAGAACGGCACCCTGGTTGTCTTGTTGACTTTAAAAGGGCCCACACCCTTGAAGAAACAAGACGGGCGGTCACCACTGGAGGTCTTGGATTCGCCCCTGCGCAACAAGTTTAGCTTTGTCCGTGGAAGAACATTGGCATGATTCTAAGTTAAAGCTCAAACATCAGACCCAGTAGCAGCCAAGGATGTGTCTGCCTTGTGTACAGTACCTTATTTGGGATGGTGCAGAAGACAAAGAACACTATGTTCCCTATTTAGAGACAAACCCAGATCTGAAGTCGACTTCCCCCAAACGGAACAGAACATGTCCAGAAACACTGAAGAGAAACCAAACAGAACACGTCTAGAACCCCTAAAGGAAAAACTGAAAGGAAACCAACCAGAAGATTGCCACAACCCCAACAATGATGACCAAACAAACGACCTAAGGAAAACCGAAGGGAATACCGGGCAAACAAACGAAGGGAAACTTTTCACCCAACAAAAAGGAACAGCAAGTCTTGAAATGGCCCAACAGTGATGGTCAGATCAACCAGTCGCCTGCGCAAACCAGGCTTCTTGTTTTTCTTAGGGTCGTGCCCGAAAGGTGGTCAAATCACCCAAGTCAACGTGCCAGTTGAAATCTGAGTCAATGAACCTACCATAGGGGTCCCAAGATCTGGTTTTCAAGGTGCTGGAACGACCCTCGAGGGAGAAACAATCCGACCCCCCCGGGCTTTCAGTCTAGGCGTCCGGCGGTGGCCAATAGCCCTCCGGAGACCTGATTTGGCTCATGGGAGTCAATGCCCAAACCAGCGGACGCACCTTCCATGAGCCAAAACGGGGCTCGAAGGACCAATGCAAGAAATGCATTGGCCTGAGCTTTGGAAGGTCCCGCAAAGGAATCCTTCGAAATGGACTCTGGAGTCAAAGGCTGCCTGCTTTAGCAACCTTCGCCGGATTTGCTTCGCATGGCTTGTCACATTCTTGGGGTGTATTTAAAAGAGAGACCCCGCCAATGGGCGGTTTCCTTTGAACTCCCCGTTTATCCACCGGAAAAAAATAACACACAAATTGGTCGTTTCCTTTGAGTTCCTTTGAACTCCAACCAGGCAAAACAAAAAAACACTTAGGTGGGTTCCTTTGACTTCATGTTCAAGCCAGCCAGGAAAAAACACAACGCAAACGAGGTTGATTCGCTCGGAAGTGAGCATGGGGTCAATGGCCAACTTCAAGACATGCCAAGGAAATGGAGGCCGCCACCTTCAAAAGAGAGGCTTTTTCCGCAGAACGTCAACAGGCAAACTCGTAATTCTCTGAATGAAACAAAACAAAGCGCTTCAATTCCCCCACCACTAGGAATTTTGCTGTGCCCGCACACATCATTTCCAGCATGCAAAGCAAGATGTACGGGGCAAACTGCCCCTTGCTTGCGCGAGGCTGTCAAAGCTGTCATCTCGCATGGGTAAGCCTTTTCATAATCGAGGAACCGTGACCCAAACGGAAATGTGTTCAAAATAATCCCCTCAAATACCTCCATGAGCGTAAGTCCCCTGGACAAAAATACACATATTGTCCAGTAGTGACACATCCCCTTTAAAACCACCAAGGCACAAATAAAACAAACAACACGTTCGAATGTTCATTTCAAAGTGTCTTTGTTTGGAGGACCCCCCCAAACAAAAAAAAAACACACAACAACAACTGAACAAATGTGGGGTTCCTTCGAGTTTCCCTTGAGAAACCAACCAACAGACGGGGAGTCCTCCCCAACTTGTCCTAAGACGCGCGGCTCTCGTGTCTCGTCTCTCGGCTCTCGGCTTCCGGGCGCGCCAGTCCAGGGCTCGTGGCTCCAGCAGCAGCTGCATGGGCAGCGGGCTCTCGGAGTCGATGAGGAAGACCCGACCCAACAGCACCTGGTGGTGTTTCGTTGGAGCCTACTTCAAGGGGTCGGGTATTTAGTAAGTGGTTGGTAACCACGGGTATAAGTTATAACTAACTTACCAGGATTGTAAGTGGGATCATTTCTTTTGCAGGATTCAGAAGGATTCTGGAGGGAGGATGGTGGGGGATTTTGTTGTGAGGGGCAAAACAAGTCCAAAAGCTTGCCTAAGACTGTGGGACCCTACCTGGCCAAAACCAGGAATGTGGCGCCTGACCAATAGTGGGTACTTGGGCGCCAAACAGAGTGTCAGCCAAAAACTAGATACTTGTGAGCAAGGCACCTGGTCTTCCAGTGGGACCCTTGGCCAAACAGCACCTGGAACTTGGAATGTGGCGCCTGACAATAGTGGGGCCTGACAAATAATATGGGTACATGGGTGCCAAATAGTGTCTGCCAACAAATTATGTACTGCAAGGAATACTGGCATCCCATTTTGGTGACCTTTCGGGGAGACACAACAATATGGGCAGATCGGAAAAACTGAATACAATGAACTCCGAAATCGGGCGATGGCTTTCATTTGCCTTGTATGGCTTTGATGGCTGAAGCACCTTGGGGGAGCAACGCCAGTCAAACTTAGGCAAGTCATGAAGCTTGTAATTCAGTGCGCTTGTTCTGGTGGGAGCCTGGGAAAAAAACATGTTTGTGTGTTTGGCTGGCCAACTGGGTATTCCACCGGGGTCAACACAAGCGAAAAAAAACATGCAGCGCAGAGGACTCCGAAGCAGGCCCCACATTCAACACTTTACCAACTTGCAAAGGGGTACAACCGCCCAGGGAGCCCAGTATCTGTTAAACCTAAAAAGGGCAACTGCATTGAGCACCCTCGTTTTGACAGTGCACGGTCTGACTTCAGCGTTGCACGAAGTCAGGGGTGTCGCCTTTGCTGCGGGCAGGCTGCCCTTTTTGCTGGTACCACCCTGCCAACATGTGAACGCTCTCGCTTCCACTCAACTGATCTACAATTGCAAATAGTTCGCTACCGGCACCCTGCCTGCTGCGGCTTTAAATACAGCGCTGCTTGACCGAGCTCACCACAACACATCGGCGATCGGCTCGCAGCCGTGTGTCTGAAGCTTCTGCTGCATGGCAACCAGCGCTTTTCGAATGCACAACTCGTGAGTTGGCCCATAGACTTGGATGTTCATCCCGACATGCGCAGTGCTTCTTCCAACCCTGGTCAAGCCATATACTCCGTCATGTTTGAACATATGCAAGCCGAGAGGGCTATAAATTGCCAGCCAAAGCTCGTCAAACAAAGCCTTGTGCCGTACACCTGCTTCAGCTGACTTGATGCCTGAAAATGTACATTTGAATCCTTGCTTGTGCAAACACATCTGGGCATGCTTGACTTCAACGCGCACACCATCTCTGATCCAATCTACCGGCTTGCTCCCGACGTCGTGCTCTTGAAATGAGCTGTGCGGGTGAAGCATCTGATCCACCACACATGCAATTTGCTGAACGCGAAGACCACGAAGCATTGGGTTCATCCTGCTCAGCGGCACACCGTTGTAGGCACCAGCATGGTTTGGAGACTTCTGTTGCAGTGAATTCACCAGTTCTTGCACAAGTGGGTGCCAGGGCTCAATGTGTGCGAGTAATCTGCAAGAACCTTCAATGGTCAGTTTGTCCAGTATACGTCTTAAAGCTTTGCTCCAGCTCTGGTAGCGTTTTCCGGAAAGCCTTATCACATGTCCGAGTGCACCTGTGCGAAGTCCATGTGATGCCTTGCCGGTCTGAAAATCGTGCTGTAGCAAATGAATGCCGGCGGGTGAATAAATCAAAAGATACAAATCATGAAACAGAGCTGCCTCCCGGAATCCTGCATAGGCAAACTTGACACCTCTGAACGTGACTTCCCACTTATAGCCAGAAGGGTTAAATGCCAGCTGGGAGCTCTTGAATTCGGCCTTCCTGTTGTCAATGACGCAATCCCAGCCATCCCCCTTGCGTGCTAGCTCCAGCTTGCAGCAACCTTTCGACTGCTCGACCAGCCTGTGCCCCAGCAGCTGCAATACATTTCCTCTTCGGCAGGGGCTCACCTCTGACAAAGGATCGCCCAGGTAGGGCTTGCAAGTTTCACCCACGTCATCCAAAATGTGCTGGAACCTGGCTGCTGGCAATGTCAGGCGTCTCAATTGCAGCGCGGCTTTGAAGCCGCACAAGCGTGACTGCATGTGGCAGCTGGACAGCAGTGGAATCTATCTGCCTGCTTCGCATGTGCATGAAGATATGTCATCATGGTCAATTTGTCAACATGGGTAATTATATTGAATCAAGGGATGCAGCAAATCTCTGGTCATTACTTTGAGGCATCGGATATCAAGACAGGCAGATTGTGTTGGGCTCAGCTGAAATTCACCAGAAATCTGTTCAGAAGGGTTAGGCAGCTCAACAAGCACAACCTTACCAGAGGCTCACACGACAAGCACCAGTCCAGTGCTCTGGCATGTCAGGTGTGTCACACCCACAGCATCCAAACAATACAAAGATTGGTAGTCCCGCCGCCAAAGCACTGCACTTTCCGGGAGCTTCTGGATTCCACGGTCAATATTCAGCAGGTGTTACCGACTGACACTGTGAGTGAACCCCCCATTCCCTAATTAGTCATGGCCATTCTCAGTTACCCAGTGAGCCTGGTGGAAAAAGCGACATATTTTTGGGGTTGACTGTTTGTAGTGGTGAACCTACCAAACAAAAGGAAAACAAGATGCCAGGCGGAATGCAGACAGCAAATTCCCCTCAAATTAAGTGTGTTTGAGGTTCAGTGCTGGTTTCTATAGACCGGATATGTCGACAAAACACTTCACACATGAGAATAACCTATTCACTACCCACCGAGTGAAGTTACCTAGCAAGTGGCCAGATCGCCACGAGCAGACTTATATATAACCACAAGGAGACTCACGCATATAACAGGCGCAGATCAGATACAATCAGGGTTGCTAGCCACTTAGCAAAAAACAGCCAGAAGCAAACCCGGGTAGATGAAGGTTAGTAGACGACAGTGCCCAGCATACACAGGTTGCTGTTGAGTAGCCGATCGCTTCCTTGCAGGGGTTTAAACATCACCTCAGAAAACTCCCCTTGAATTGGCAACCAACAGGTGATATCCAGAACCACCTATTCAGGGCAAATCTAGGGAACTCCGGAAAACGACAGGGAAACACTTTGGGGGTAAAGGGCTGCCCACCGGAAAAAACCGACCTTTTCATCCTGTGCCGGTACCCTCCCCATGACTCCGAGCCGGGCGCCGCCAGCATGAAGACGGTGATGATGCCGTTGAGGCGGTCCCCATGACCCCCGCACTGCGCAAAGGGCTGGCAGCTATACACCTCAGATAGGTTTGCCTTTTGGCGCCACTTTGGAACAAAGTAGAGGGGCCCCCTCCCTGGAAGTGTACAAACCCTCTTTTTGAGGAGTCCCTTTTTTTTCCGGACAAACCCCGCCTTTGTTCAGTCTGTCTCTGAATGGGCTTGTCTCAAGAAACGAACCCCTAAATTGGCCGGTTTTCGCTTTGGCTTTCCTTTGAACCAGCCAAAACGGGGGCCCCTATGTTTGAGACACCCCCAGACGAGAGAAAATGAGTAAGGAGGAACCAAAGGCTGAACGAGGGCAACATCTGCGGCAAATGTGGTTAAATGTCAGATTGAACAGCACGTATGACACAAATGGCCAGGCAAAGCTCCAGTGTGAACACCAAGACATTTGCTTCATGGGCCGAACGTCTGATTTCAGCTTATCTCTAAGCGCAACTTTGATTGACGTTCCCTCAGTTGGGTTCTTCTCCTAGCAGGGCCACACTGTATTTTTTGTATGGTTCACAAGCTGCAAGCTGTCTCCAAAAAGCAATCCGCATTGTTGCTGGAACTCCGACAAAGGGCACTTCCTTAAATCCACAGCGAGCATCCTGGGTTGATATGGGAGGTTTCCTTCAATCGTCCTCTTGCTGGCCTTCCAGAACAACTCCAAAGGGCGTCCCAACACCCGAGCTGACTTGGCTAATCCAACATGGGACTTGGCGCGCTAAGCTCGCAGCCAGGAATTTTGTGCCAGGGGCTTTTAGGCCTTCCACGTCCTGCAGAAAGTGGCGATCCGCGTAAGAATGACGAAACTTCTTGGTGGCAGGTGCCACTGGTTTTCCTTTCGGCTTCTCTGCAATGCAAGCTGAAAAGGGCATCCTTTTGAATGCTTAGGGGATCATGTAGATTCCCAAAATGGATTCTCGGGGCGTGCATGTTGGCCTAAAGGCTCATGACTACCGCCCGGGTCTTGAAAAGGGAAGCTGGTTGACATCTTTGGGGTGCCCCTTACGAGTAGTTGGTCCCTCCCTAGGGTCTATGAGAATCTGGGATTGGTTAAAGTATCTTAAATTGATGAAGACACCTGTCAAAAAGCAGTGCAAAGCACGCCAACACAACACGCAAGGAATATGTCTTCACCAAAGGGTGAACACTCAATCAAAGCAAACCAACGAACAGCTCCGCGGCGCACCAAGCTCAGCCATAAGGTCTTTACCTTGGCTTGACTTGTGGTGCTGGGCCCGTACTCTTAGCGTTTAAAGCCCGTGTGCTTAGATTCCGCGGTATGTACTTCTCAAGGTGACACGACGACATCCAAGGACCCTACAACCCCCTCAACAAAAAACAACCAAAACATAATAGGCGCAGGGCAAATAGGCCTTGTTTTTCGGCCGATGAAGGCCTTGACGATTGCGGCCTCAACCTAGGCCATTCAAGAAAATGGAGCCTGACTCAATGCAATCCAACCCAACACTTCGCCAATCGCCGGACTTCTAATTTATATCGGGAATCAACTGAGACACTTCGGCAATGCAGGAAAAGAAACAATCCCCAACATCCAGTAAGCCTACAAGCCCCAAAGACCCCCTCGAGGGCTCTAGTCTCCTAAAAGGTCTGGAAAGCGGCCCGTCGCTGTGACTGCGTCGAAATACTGACCCTCAAACCACGAAAAACAAGGGTGCCACTAGAGGTCTGGGGTTTGGAACAGGGCTCAGCCTAAGCCAAATCCATTTACCTGTATAGGTAACCAAGAGAACCAGCCTGTGAAAACCAAAGGGAAGGCTGCTGCTATGAACCAGCCTGTGAAAACGAAAGGGAAGGCTGCTGCTATGAAAACTGGGATCTGGGTAAGGAAGTCCCAAGTTTAAACGGCTGTGTCTTTGTTGGGTGACGGGTGGTACCCCGTTTGGGAAGAAAACAAACAGCAGGGGAGCACCGCCCGAAGTCGACCCCGGGTCCTGGCCCATAGCTGCCTGGTGCATGGCCGTATACTCCGCCAGGCGCACAGCCTCGGTGAGAAACGCGTGTCGATGGCCAAGACTTCCGGATGGGGTGGTGGTCTACCTACTTAAAGGGTATTGGCACAGGAGCCTCCTAGCGGCCGTTCAAAAACAAATACTGGTTAGCAACCGAGGTTATAACCCACTTAGGAGACTTATAACAGTGGTAAGCGGGTTATAACCATGGTTATTGAGTTGTTTTGGTAAGGCTGATTGCATGGGTCCATGGGTATGGGTCAAAGTTGGTCACCAGGATATGGACCATATGAACCCATGGCCATTTCGGACCCTTTGGAACCTGATTTCCCATAAAGCCATAAGCAGGGGTGAATCAACCCAGAAACTAGGGGTTCATACCGGGGGTTTATATATGGACATATATACCTTCAGCCTTTGATACCTAGGTGTTCGATTCGCCAAGCTTGGAAGTTGTTGGCAACCTGTACAGGTTATAAGCCACTTAGTGCCCCGTTCAGCGTGCGATTAGTGGGTTATAAGCCAGGTGGCGTTGGCCACTTTCTAAGTTGGCGAATCAAACACCCAACTACTCCCGTACAAACTATCGGAAGGGAACTCAAAAGAGGGTCCATTTCCCAAAAGGAGTTTTCGTTCCTACAAATGGGTGCGTGTGTTGAATTCCATGATAATCAGTAAGGGAGTAAATTTAGCTGGAGCCGTGGATGGCTCCCAAACTACTGTGGATGGACGAAATCCCGCACCGCCGAAGAAACCCTGGAATGCTTCGATCCCCTGCAAATGCCAACAAGCAATGGCTTCAACCATGGTTTCACAGTGGTGCGTTGCATGGATTTCGCAACCATCCCCAGTACGTCTGCAGTTTCTCTTTGCCACAATTCCGAAACCCGAAAGAAGAATCGGATCCCCAGCTAAAGGACCTTCATGGTGAGCCGCAGAACACCCGCCAGAACCGCCAGGAACCTTTCGTCTGGTTGGCCTATCCGTCGAGCCGCCAGCGGCGTATCCTCCGGCCAGGCTGGAGGCTCCTGGCAAAAATCGCCCGTGGCGTGTCTCTCTCTTCTTGCGGGGGGAACCCACCAAAAATCAGCGTTTGTTGGTTTGCTATTTTCTTAAGGCAAACTACCTGGCCCCAAATGAGAGCGTCTGTTTGTGGGTGTCCTGTCTTTTTTCTTAAGGCAAACCACCCAAAAGAGAGGGTTTTGTTTGGGAGGAATCCGCCTAAAATCAGTGGTATCCTGCTGGCTTCCCATCTTCATCCAAGCCCAACAAAGGTGGATTGGAACGGACTGAGCCGGGCCAGCTCGCAATGGGCGAATGCCCTTTAGACGAACGCCTCGTAACAAAAATGTTTGAGCAAACTGAGACCAACTGAGGCTCCCTTCACCACAAAGGATACCCTCCCACCAATTAACAGCCGGAACCTGTCAGGGGGTCCCTTAAAAAACGCAAGGGTCCCAACCAGGACCCCCCTTGTGAGGCGCAATGCTACTTGGTGGGGAAGCAGGTTGCGCATCGATTCAAACAAGGAGCCCCAGAACTTTGGCGAAATCACAAGGTATAGCTGGCACCGTGATTCTCCAAAAGAATCCTTTCAGCTTTTATGTTTGTTTGAACAAGCGTACGTGGCTGGTGCTTGGAAACCTAATTTCCTGCTGATTGAGGTCGACAACTCAGAAATTCGCCTACTGGATTTGGGTGGCTCGTCTTTTTTTGAGCCGGTACCATTTTGTTGGTGTTGGTTTTGAAGGGAGAGCAAAAGGACTCCAATTGCTTTTGGGGTCCCCACGTTTTTTGAGACAAACCCGCCAAAGGCAAGCCCATTGTATCCCCAAGTGAGCTCTTTATACTTTGTGCAGAACCAGGCCAGAAGAGGTTTGCCAGTACCAAGTCCTCTTGCCGAGCAGCGGCTTTTCTCTCCGCCTCAGTCGCGTAAAGCAAACAGCGTATCGAGGATAGCTTCAGGTCAGGGTTCGGATTTGTCAGATTTGGGACAATAACAAGGAAGGACTTCTTGTTCAAGAGCATCTGAGCTTAGCTACCGAACTACCTTCAAATAATTGAACAGGAGCTTGTCCTTGAGTCAAAGTAGCTCGATCAGGCACTCATGGGAGCCTATAAACACTTGCAGAGTATATTGGTAGTATCATCGGTGAGTTCACCAGACATACAGTAAACACCAACCCTTGCAATTCAAGACGACATCGCCACGGAAAACAGCAGGGAGAGCCTTCAACGGAGAGCCCTGTGAGTCTGTCACCAAATGCACAAAGTGAAGCGCAGGCCAAGTGCAAAGAAATTGCAAAGATTGACTGCACTAGAAAGATATAGCAAAGAGAAACTTAATTGGGCACTTGGAGGAGTGATGTTGCACCCTGGTTAGTACGGGCAGCATCTTTAGTGTCAACATGCTTTCTCAAGTGGACTGCCAACTGTTTGGACACGATAGCTATCAAAGCAAAACGGAAATCCCGAATCAAAAAGCGAAAACGAAAAGGTACCCTTAAAAAGACAGGCCCAATAGGGAACATGACTCAGCAGCTTGCTTTGCAGTATCTTCTTTGCCAGGCTTCCATTTATGGTTGTGTCATCCCACCCCTCACCTTAAGGGGAGGCGGCGGGTCCGGGACCCAATTGCATTGATCTAGTCGTCCCATGTCTTCTCACGGAAAATGGGTTGACAGAAATGGGTCGATCTCCGGGGGCGTTTTTGCCTCCCTCCCGCAATCATCCATGTTTAAGGTTGTTTTGGTCCTATGCGCCAACCACCAAATTTGGTTGTGTAAATCTATCCAAAACACAGAGCAAACAGCCAGGGCACCATCGTTGATGTTAACAAAAAGGAGATGCGAAGGTTCCCGATAACCAATACTAAACCAACGCGAAACAGAAAGGCCCCAAGAGGACCAAGCATGAATGACCCCCCGACTTGACAAAAAGGAAGATCTTACACCGGTCTTCCCGTGGATTCGGGGGGTGGGGGAAACCATCTTAGAAACAAGCAATGTCTCCCCAATATCTATGACCAGTTGCATTCTCTTGGCCACTCCAACTCCCAGAGAATGACCTCCCCCAATTGGTGGACATCATCTACATGGGAATGGGAAGGGATTTGTGTCCACCAATCACTTTTGAGGGATTAGAACAAAACCATGGTAGTATATATGGACTAGTTCAAAACATGGACCAAAGGGATTCGCTCATTTTGATCACCCCAAGTTAATTTCTTGAGCGCCCCAAACAAATCTTCCAAACAGGATGCTGTCAGATCATCGTGCTGTGGATGGGTGCAAAATCTGCTTCGCACCACGAAATGCAACCATGGGAATAATGCCACGAATAGGATTCCCAGATAAAGAATCTACCTCATCCGTATTTTTTTTGGAGGCTACCTCCGTTCTGTTTTTGTTCTAACGATTAACCCACAGGGAAACACCGAACGCCCTGTTGGCACACCCATTTTTCAGATCGCTTTACCGCCATCGGATGCCAAGCGGCGGTGTGGGGCTCCATAGCCATCAGCACATCGGGGTCTTTGACCAGATGCATCCTGCGAGCTGAAGAAAAACAACAGAAATTGCTCAACCAACCCTGGCAAAACGCAGTGGGGTGTGTCGTTTTTGGAGGGAACCCCTCCAACATGGGTGGGTTTCTTTTTGAGGGAACCCTTTTTGAAAACGTGTTCAAAGGGAAACCAAGGGGCAACCATTTCGGGGTTGCCCTATAAAAGCTTCTCAAACGCTCATGCACCGGGGCAATTTGGGAGTTCAGCGGGCCTTGACAAAGCGCTTCACAAGGAAGGCCCTTTGGTCCGAAGAAACCGCGGCCCTTTGGTCCGAATCCTCGATGCTTCCATCATAAACCCAGTGGATCCCAGGCAAGGCCACTTCGCTAACCCTTCGCCATGTGTTTCTTTTGATTTTTCAGGGCGGCAAGCCCTTGGTTACCTACACAGGCAAATGGATCCACTGGGATGCTTCTCTCCAAAAAACAAATGGCCCAACAGGGATGTTTCTCTCTTACACAATTGGCCAATGAGGGATGAGTCTCTCAACAAAAAAGGGCCAGGCCCCTGGAAAATATGTGTGGTGCTGGTTTGTACAAGCAACGTCTGGTAAGTAGGCTATGGTTATAACTTGGGTAACTGGGGTTTGTCCCATAGTTATAGCCCACCTACCTGACGTGGATTGAACATCCATCCATGGCTGTCGATTTCTCTTTTTTCCTCCAATTCGGACCCGTCCTCTTGCTGCCCCGCACTTGCTCGGCCAGCGGAAGTCCGGGGCAACTCGCCTCCGGACCTAAGCCAAACTAAAGAAACCCCGAGTTGAAGTGGACGGGTGGTTCGTCCTTGTTTTTTTGGGGGGGGAGGGAGAAGTACCCCCTGGTTGGTTGTTTTTAAAGGGAAACCAAACACAATCTTGGGGGAGGGGTCCCCTCAAAAACCACACCCATATAGCCGCCACTGCTCGAAAACATAATTTGAGGGGGTTCACCCCAAAGAATCTTGGGTGGCACCATCACAAACTCAATTCAACCTTAGGCAATTGCAAATGTGAAGAGCTGAAAGTCGGGGCCCGAATTAACAGCCGGAACCGTTCGAAGTTCGGGACCCAGTCCCTTTCAATGGAAAATCGTCTTCCAGGTTCCATGTTCATTGGTGGGAGGGTGATTTATACCAAGTCGGAAAACGACGAAGCAAGAGTTCTGAATGACAGGAGCCTTCATGAGTGAGGTTGCAAAAGGTCCACATAGGACCACTATCACCTTCAATTGCGAACGGTCCCCCAATCCCCAATCCCAATTAGTTTGCCAATGGGCTGTGCCACGGACACGCTCACACATGGCTACCAAACTCTTCCCAAAACAAGAGAGCCTCTCCCGAGTTTTTGGGGGTTGCTTGCTGCAAAATACTGGGGAAGACAAGGATCCGACTGGAGAGTTAGCTGCAATACCCACTCAGCACTCAGTAGAAGCATAGACGTGGACTATCCTCCTCTGACGCCAGAGTCTGCCATCCCAGCAACTACTTTGTCACTCCAAGGCCCCTTGGTATCACAGAAATTGGCATACTACCTCATTTCGCAAAACCAGTCCAAACTCCGAAAGGATGGACCCCAGCAAGTTTTACCCAGACCTTCAGCTCCCCTGAGAGCTTCGACCCAGGATGGCAGTCCTTCTCCAAAAACGCAACTGCTACAGCTAATATATATATATATATACACATTCTGAGTGGATTGATTACGCAAATCAAAACTTCCTGGTTGCCACTGCAACGGTCTTCCCAAAAAGTGACTAAAGTCCAGGAACTCAGGAAGTGAGTAGCAGGAACAGGCGGGGGTTGATCAATATTCCTGGTCCCCACACGTGGTAGGATCTCTTTTTGTGGTTTTTCACACAATAGTCACCCTTGAGTGAAGCCAGTGGTCCATGAATTCGTCACTCTATGAAGCAAGTTCCATGAAGATGGCGCTGACGGTCTCCAGTTTCCTAGAAAGCTCCATGTGGCGAGTCCATGTTCCCGGACGAACGAAGCTGAACCCGAGACGTATTTATCCAAGGCGCGAAAGTCCATGAGCCAAATGGAGCTATGAGCACCTCAGGGTAGGTACAAACTCTGGACAAATTGAAACATGTACCTACACATATGACCCACATTTTTACGACTTACAAACATAAATATTTTGTCGTGGGACCTTCTGTGGGCCCCAAACACGAGTTTACGAACACGCTCGTACTCCTTTCGCGTGGCAGTTAGAAGCAAGCCACAACAGCACTGCGGTCCCTTCGGAGGAAGATTGGCATACATGGACGAAATCCATTTCGCACCACCCACGAGACCCTTGAATGAGTCGATTCCCCAACGTAAATACCAAAACAAACGTTATGGTTTCACCCATGGTTTCCAAGTGGTGCGAGAAGCAGATTTCGCAACCATCCACAGTACCTCCAAGAGAAAGCCACCAGATTGTCGCATTATCTCATTTCTATTGGCCTGTCATTCCTTCGCCCGAGCGATTCTTCTTTTTGTGGGTTTAAAAAACATTTGGCTGAGAGGGACCCCCAAAGTGAAAGGAAACGGAAGGAACAGCCACCCCCAGGCAAAGGCTCAGGGTCCGTTTGGGCCTGGCATGAGGCAGAATCAACCTGGTCTTAATAGGGAAAAACAACAATAGTCTTGGTCAATCTGATAGGGCGGTGGCATCTACGCGGGGACAACATTCTTAAGCAACTGAAAGCTTGCGACTCACCTTGGCAACGAATTCACGTCAAAATGGTGCAATATTCTTGAAGGAACCCCACCAAAGAAATGGGAAAGGGTCCCATTGGGAAACTGAGAGTAACCAACATTTAGTCTTTGATCTCTTGCAACAAGGTAAATATTAAGCGGGAGGCTCGTCATAAATCCAGGTACACCCCTTGCATGAAGGCATGCTTGTTCAAGGGGAGCGAGCCCCGTGTCGCCTTGCAAGCATTTTCCGCCGGTGGTCTTGGAGAAAATGCTGCTCAAACTGAAAGCACGTCTTGGCGATGTGCCCGATCTTTTGTTCCCAACCAGCGAGGCCATGTGCATAAATGTGCAATAAGAAAAGTGCGAGACGAATAGGAGCAATAACGATAAACCGGAAGTACTTGCTTTAACAACACAAATAAGTATTGATACTCAAGTATTCTACATGCCTATAGAAGTGTTGATTGAAGCCACTCAGCACATCCGAACGGTCCGCAGGCAAAGAAAGTAATTAACCCACCCAGACATTCATTTCCAGGGTCATTCCCTACCTATCGCACCAGCAAGAAAAACATCCACCGCTTGCATTCGATTCAGGGCGAAGGCGCCCCAGAGAGAGCTCCCAAGCTCCAGCGCGCTCTGGGCGATGCTCCGGGTGCCCGCCTCGGCGGATTGTTCTCTCCGAGAAACCGGAGAAACGGACCGTACCCATTTGCAGATACGCTCCTGGAGAAAAATGAGAAACTCATTTTCCAGTAAAATTGTTTCCCTTTAAGACCAACATCCAGTAGTAAAATTGCTTCCCTTTAAGATCAACAGTGGAGAATAAACATATATTCTGAAAGGCAAATGGATGCCAATGTACCAGTTCGCTTCTTCTGCCTTTGACCCATCGAAAGTGGTAAGGCAAAACAAGGGAATCGGAGCAATTTGGGGGTCCAGGAAATCAGCGCAAAAATCCCAAGGACCGCAGAGCGTGTTCTAATAAACGTGTACTGATTGCTTGAAAGGATAAGCATGTGCATAGCATCCTGGAATCCACGTATTCGAAACCATTTAGGGTCACCCATCAAAGAGGACCCCCTTTCCTTGCAATCTTGCCCCCGTGAAGCTTCTGACCATTTCCACTTGCAACACAATGGCCAACCCGGAAGCGTAGAATGGAGGAAGTGTGAAATCGTATGGAGGTTTTGCTTTGTGCTCCTTTGTCTGTGTTCAGTTCGGGCCCGCAATGATAGCACGCACGCCCTTAAGGTATTTGGAGGTCCCTGGTTTGAATCCAAGTGGACTTAAATGACGCCAATATAATGTGGAAGGAAGGATTGAATTTTGGTGACTGCGCAAAGCCTTTTCGGCCCTTTCTGCGCTCATATCGATGTCCCACGGACTTCTCCGACTTACGGTCTGGGGATGCTGAGGAAAGCGCCGGGGATAGACAGTTGTGAAATCAGCTTTTGAAAGCAAACGGCGACTATAAAGGCAGACTTAACGCAGACCATGGGAAAATCTCGGAACGAAGGTCGATTCGCTTTGGGCAAGCGAGCCTCCCTTTGGACTTTGGGCTATGCCCATATGGTTTCGAAGGTTTACATTGGTCATTGTGAACCCGGCATGAAACCGAGCAGTAGAAACGCACGCAAAGTTCACTGATGGGGGGTGTGGGCGCGGAAACTCGACCTTTCCTCCCACCAACATGGAACATGTGCAAGGTGGCAACGTGGGAGGGAGTGTGCTCCATTTGTTTTTATGTGCTTTGGATATGTTGGAAATGCTCCAAATGTAGTTCATGGGAGAGGACCATACACATATACATATATATATATGCAAGGCTCCAAGACTCATAGCTCCTGGCTCCTAGGCCCGACTCCAGGAATCCCGACATGGCGTCTCCACGCCACGTGCGGCTGCAACTTGGGCGCCCAGGCTTCCTGACGCGCGAGTCTCGCGACTCGGCCGACTCGCCTACGTGGCCCATGACAAACCGGAGTCGCTTGAGTCCCCCAAGGCATCTTTACTTTGATTGTCTAAGGATCTTCCAACACCCTGGGGTTACACCGTAGGGAAAACACCAAACAGAACCCCCAAAAAAGCAACAACAAGCAGGTGTATCTGGAAATAGGCTAGAATCGGGTGATTCCCCAGATGGCGTAGTTTGAGGGTACAGTAGGAAATCCCTTACAGATTAGAATTCACCAACCGAACAAATGGAAATGTTTGGTTAGCCCTGAACGCAGCGGCTTTGCAGCCATTCAGCTAACTCCTGCTCCGCACATTGGGTTGGGTTGGGGGTGGGTTTGGTTGGGCTCACCAAATGGTGTTTGTCCTCTTCAGTTCCAAACAAAGTGCATTTACCACCTTGAGGACCGATTAGGTTCTAACAGGCCTTGGGGTAGCAAGCCCGGACGAATTGAGTCCGGGTCCAAATCAGGAAACCAATGGACAATAACATATTGCAACCCAGGGGCTGGTACTCTGGTCTGCTTCCAAACCTCTTCCAGTGCCCCGCCTCGGCCACCCTCACCATGCCGCTCACATGGCTCGGATGGAGGCAGTTCCGCCTTGGTCGGCCGACTTCTTGTTCATGGTACCCTCCCTCCACTTGAAGCCGGGAGGACTTCGGAAGACGAATTGCCTTCCCACACAAGTGTCCACTTCCATTAAAAAAGGGCAAGCTGTGATCAATCCGACCTTCTACAGGAAAATGACGTCCAGGGCACCAAATCCTTACGTCACGTCCTTTTCAGGAAACAAAGAGATGGCCCTGGAGGTTTATAACCAAATTGACAGGATGTTCTGGACTTCCTTTGAACCACCCCAGGTTTTTTGGGTGCTTCCCTTCGAACCCCAAGGATCCCTAGGCAATCAAAATGTGCGGACAAAATCCAGGGCGATCGATCGCACCAGTGGGGGTCGGTGGTTTATCACAGGTTCTATTTAGCCGAACCGGTGAGAAGTGAATGTCCAATCACAGAAGGGGAGCCTTCGCCAGCTTTTAATTCCCCCGCCCCAATACATCAACCCCTATTAAATATATTATGTTCAGCCAAAATCCGTACTTTCTATTCACTGAATGCTAAATGAATTCTAAACTCCTGACAGCCCTTATTAGGGTGCACAGTGAGCACTTCTCTTCTGTGAATTGTGAACTCACATAGAACGTATAACTTGAGCTTTAACTTTGAAAGGACAAATTCCAAAAAGTGCAAACAATTTCGCATAGTATATATATATATATGTATAGATACACTGTGTATATGCTGCATATAGTGCCTATATAGTGGCTGCAAGTCCCATCCTGCATCTGACCATCTAAGAGGTCTCCCATGGATTTCATGTCCCCAAATCACCACGCTTACCTTCAGCAGAAAATGGACTCCGGAGTGCCCAAGTTCACCCTCCCTGGTTGCCTGCTCATAAGTTCATAAGGGTCACTGCAAACCTTAGGGTCATTGACTCAATGTACAAAGAAGGGGGTATGCTACTGCGTCCTTAAGTGGCCATGCTTGTTGTAGGGCACTACCTCAAAAGTGGCTGGTGGACATGAATCACCCAAATTATGTCCATCAAATAGTTTGGGGCCCATCTAAATGCATACCCAAGTGTGTCCTGTCGTCGAGGGTGTTGATGTTTTATTTTCCAAAGGCAGGCCTCGTGGGAAAACGTCCATTCACCCAGTTGCAGACTAAATAAAGGGAACCCTTTTTGGTGTTCACCGTTGTTTGTGCGGAAGCCACCAAACAAAAGGCCTTCTTGGAAAGTTCCTACGAAGGGTCAAGCCGTGGCCGCCGACCGCCCCCCCCTCAAAGACCCATCCAGGGTTCCATGAAAATACAATTGGTTTCAGCAAGCACACCTTCCCCTAAAGAGAAGCGACAAAGAGGTACCGCCATGTGGGAATCCGTTTTTCACTTCCTGACTGGGTTGGCACAACACAGTCTAACTTGTTGCTTACGACCAACCAATCAAGTAGAAAGTCCGGCAATGAAGACACGTGAAAGCCCCAAGAAGAGACACACAAACACAGTTTCTGATCGCATCTGGGAAGTACAACCAGAACTGACCCCACATGCGCCAAACTACCCGCGCTCCGTCTGTTGCCCGGGGCTCCAAGGCTCCAAGGCTCCGGCGGATGCGGCTCGCTATGGCAGTTGTAGCCCAGCGCCTCGCGATGGTTCTCGCGCGGGTTTTGTGGGCAGTTTATTTGTCCTGAGTCTTCCAATTGGTTAAGACCCCTGGAAAAATATAAAAATGCTTCCAGTAGTGATGAATTCCTTTTAAACCCAACAAGGGAAAAAAACATATTATACTTACAAGCAAATGGAGGGAGTGGATTGGCCCCAACAAAGTATCCATGCTTTTGGGTTACCCAACTCAATTGACCTTCCCAAAATATTGATCAAGTACATGAACTCATGGAGTGAGGGAACATTGCAGTTATCTATCAGGGTCACAAGTGGGCCTCCGCAAGCTTACGCATTGTGACTCACTATATGTTTCGTTGGGTGGGGTAAAGGGAAGGAACGGTCTGAGAAAGCCTTCTCGTCGAGTTGGGAAAAGCAGTATTCATAGTGGGTGCATCCATCCCTGGTGCGAAGCGCGTTTTGTCCACCCACAGTACGAGTCCAGTCTTGTCTCCTGAAAGACTCGCATTTCGTCAATCAACTACCGGCGGGAGTGTTTTCAGGTCTCAACGGCTTGTTGCGCCTCCAAATGGTGAACTGCATTGACCTGCACCATTGGGGTGGGATAAGTTGGAGCCGTGGCGATGCTTTGAAAGGAACACCATCTAGGCTGCCTCTAAGGCTCGTCTATAAAATAGGGGAACCCTCAATATTGATGGTGGTTCCCTTTGGTTTCCCGTTAAACCAACCAACTCCCACTTGTGGGTACCATCGAAATGGACGAGCCACGCTCGTAAACGCAAATGAATCCCGGGAGTCCATGCGGACGAATCGGTGAAGAATGCTGCGCTGCAACGCTCAAGAACTTGCAAGTGGTTACCCCTGGAACAGATTTGCGCGGAGGTGTAGGGGGTTTGGTTGGGTTGCTCGGCGCCTCGCAAAGCCCGCCATTCAAGTATGCATTTGCGCTAAAGCGCATGCAACATCTTTCTTCAACTCGGACCCTCAGGCCATCCCCAAAATGCATCCTGGGTACCCTTTGCCGTTTGTATTTTCAGGTTCAAACCATGACGAAAGTCCGAAACGGAACTCGGATCTTGTAGTTTCCGAGGGAATCCGAGTTTAGGCTTCCCAAAACGCCGGTAAGGACTCACTCAACGTTTCATTCACAACCACCAGTTGGATGCTTCAGTTTAGTGGTCGTCACCCTGCTTTCACAGAGCTTTTTCACGTGGCTTTCTAGGAAGGATCCCTGGAAGTGGGGAAGCTACGCCCTTTTCCTATTAGTTTAACCCTTCCCTTTTCTGAGTGGATGGGTCAAAAAAACCTTTTCTTTACCTCTAAAGATCTTCCACGGTCTTCCCAAAGAGTGCCTCAAGTCCAGGAACTCAGGAAGCGAGTTTCTCTACTTAAGGGGGCAGGGTACCTCGTAAGCGCTTATCTCAGGACACTTGTACCCATGCCTTTTGCGACATCTCTCCCCCCATGTTCATGCCTCCCACTTCCCAGACATACCCAACTTCATTCCGCCCCGTTCTCCGCCCGGACTCCCAGACTCCCGGACTCGATCCCTCGATCCCTCGATCCCGGCTCGGAGCTCCGGCGTCCAGCGCGCTGCCGCAGCTGTCCTCCAGGAAGAGGCACCTGGGGCCCTCCAGGCGCTGCATCAGCTCCTCGGCTTTCGACGCCGAGGCACCGACTCCGAGGCACCGACTCCGACTCCCCGGTTTGGCGCATGCGGGCCGTGCCGTGCCATTCGGGGCGCGTCGCTGCTGCGCAGAACCCGTGGCAATGGGGAGCAACAGCTAGTCATATCGGAGAAGGCGTGTGTCTTGCTTCTTTTGTTTTGGTGATTGCAATTTCAAGACATGAAGAGAGATGGAAATTAGCTAGTCTATCACAAGCTTCAAGTAGGCACCCAGTTTACCCAAGTTATAACCGTGATGATAACCTGCTACGTTGATCGGACATCCAAGAAGGGCTTGTCACATATAATGTCGGTACCCAATAAAACGAAGGGCATCACATACCTCCCAAAATAAAGGGGGGTTCGACCGATTTATTCATAGGAAATCCCTGAAAAAGACACTTTCAATTAGGAAATCCAAAGACAACCACAGAACATACAGTGGGTGTGGAGGTGCGCGTGTGTCTGGGTGTGGGTGGGTGTGGGTGTATGCGTCTGTGCGTGTGGGTGGGTGGGGCTGTGAGTAGGACACCCCTAAGGAACCCATTCTCCATTGGTCAAAAGGTGATGGTTGGAACTACCCAAAAGGAACCTGTAATAGGTAGAGATATGCGTCGGCGCGCATACGGTTGCCCGAAAAATTACAAGCAGATCAATCCTCAACCACACCCAACCCCCGATCCCAAAAAGAAGAAAGTAACTTGCGGTAAGTTTGTGGGAGGTTCCTTGTTCCCTTACTGCCAGTAGTTGGATTCTCTTGCCGGAAGCCCCAACAGCCATAGGCCAGTGGAGTTTGCGGGGCTTTTAAAAAAGTGGCTTTCTACAATAGCGTTTCATAGCGTTTCTTCTTGGCTTCCTGTGAAATATTGACCAAACAATGGATAAATACTCGAGAAATCAATGAGCTGGGCAAATTGAGCTTCGTAGCTCCAGAGAATCAAACAGCCCACCTTTTTGAAAGAAGACCCCAACCTGCAAATGGGTGTGTCCTAATACCCGGTTAGCACCTTGGTTATTTACCAGCCATACGTTGAGCCGATCGACCACCCCCATCTTGGCAAATCAAAACAATTCACGGGAGAAAAAAGAAAAAAACAACAAAAACAAAACACAAAAACGGATCCACAGACGTCCTTACAAGGTGCCATTTTTGGGGGACCCCCAGAAAATGGTGGTTTTCCTTCTGGGCTTCCCTGTAAAACCAACCAACAGGGTGTACCTGTAAAAAAAAAAGGACAAGCCCGTGTTCTACCCAACAACCTCCACGGATCGGCTCTCTGCCGGTCTGGGCCTTCCCGCCCCTACCGTGGAGTCCCTGGTCTGGTTGGAGATCAGCACCACAAGCCTCGGTGGGGGAAGGCCTCAACAGAATCCACGTGGCTTCTCACGCTGAGTGTGTCGTTTAGGGGACGCTGGCGGTCCTCTTGGATTTTATTCCAAAAAAAGGGTGCCCCGAGCAAAAAGACACACCGAACGAGTGGTTCCCTCAAATGCTTGGCTTCTTTGTGCACAAAGAAGCACCAGATATCCCACAGCGTCACCCTTTGAGCATGAACTCAAAGGGCTTCAAGCAAACATGATGGCTAGTGAATCAAGCGTCCAAGACTAATGAGACGAAGGGATCCCTCCGCTTGAACACCGGGGTCCCTCAGTTCAGTAAGCTTGGACATCGCGAATGGGCCGCTTCATCCCAGCAAAAGAGTTTGATCAAGCACAACAGGAGAAAGCCTATTGAAGCCATCAACTTTTTCATTCTGGAGGGGGTTCCCTTGGCCACTCATAGCAGTGGCCAACGAAGACCACTATTTTGATGTACAAGGGGACCCCCAAATTGGTTCATTTCCTTTGGGTTTTCCTTTGGGCTTTCCTTTGAAAACCACCAACAATGGTACCCTCAAAACAGACACACCCATCTGGCACAGCCTGAAATCTAAGCTTGCACTGGTAAAGGGTGGTTCCGCACCCCATCGGTCACCTAGTATCTGGGGCTGTTCAAGTTCGAAGGGATCCAAAGCCAATCCTAGTCCGAAATTTGTGGGACATCAAAGCAAGCAGGCAAACCAGGACCATCTGTGGAATAGGGATTGACTAAGAGACAAGTGCGATTTTCTGGCGCTGATGCAGTGGACAGAACTAGCTCAAAGTAAGGCTGCGAACCCCTGTGACCCTCAGTGCCCGTAGGTGTGGGCCCAACAGCTAGGCACATAATGGCACATGGAAATGGGTGTCTGTCAAACCCGGGGGTAGGGACCCGTGATGGTGTTCATTTTTAAAGCCAACCTGAGCAGGGAACCAGGGGCGTCAACCTGTGCCTTCCGTCCTGAACTTTGTTGTTCTCCATCCTAGGCTGGAATTAGGACCCCGGCAAAAAACATATTTTAGCCTGGTTAGTGGAAACCAAAGGGACCCCAAAGCAAAAAAGGAAAAAGGGGAGCTAATTCTGGGGAAGCATCCAGGTGCCCGATGTCGGCTAAGTACGACTTCTTGCCAGCCGTCAGGTCGGCGTTTGTGGGTGATGACGCGCGGTCTCTTTGTCTGAGCAGCTTCCGCAGCATCGAAGAGCTGATCAAACGGAAGCTCCCGCTTCGAACCTTAGCACCTCTGGAAATCGACCAAGTTCCCCACGTTTTCTATCCAAGTTGTTGCACCACCTGCGGTGACAGTCCCGCCATAGTCCCGCCCTGTCACCGAAAATTGGTGATGGTATCCGGGACTTCGCCGGGCCTTGGCTCGCTCGGCCCCCGGCCCGAAGGCCGCGTCCGGATCCGGCTGGCTGTAGGACTGGCGCGCGCTCGGAAGCCATCGAAAATTGGGAGACGCGCCTATCAATGCCCACATGGGTGTGCTGTTAGGCACCGGCTCGCCTTGTTTTCAGTGGCTTGCGGGCAGAAACGAAAAGGGAAAACCCGTGCCCGTGCTTCTTTCTGCAAAAATTGATTGACAATGGACACCCACTTTAGGCCTTGAGTCAGCGCTTCAACCGGGGGAAGCCCACTAGCATGTTGCAGGTTCAAACACTTGCTCTGCAAACGTCAGTGAAAAAACCGAAGAAAGGAACAGACACTCGCGCGCGGCAGCGCAAGAGCAAGAAACACCAATTTGAACTATTGATTCAAGGTGCGGTTGACTGACCAGGAATGAAGAAAGCAAGCAACACGTTTCAAGCTTCCCAATTCCAGCGGGTAAGCTGTTTAAACTGTTGAACAAGTCAGTGGCATAGGGGGAACCTCCTTCCAATGTTTCACTGATGCTCCATGCGATCGATCAGAGTGCTGGGATCCTAGGTTTATGAAAACAATCAGTCTTTTCAAAACAAGTCACACCGATGTTGGTTTTGGTTTCTAGCTCATATCACCTAGGGCTGGACATGATTTAACTTTGCCAAGCGGACCGCCCGGGTTCTTCCCAGTACATGAAAATGGAACGGAAAAAAAAACACTTTCAAAGAAGCCTCCTGTGGGTTCCATCGTTCTGGGAAACTGGCAACCGTGCTGGGCTGATTAATCCTTCACTTCCAGGGAACATCCTAATTTGTCAAACCACATTGCTCACTTGACCAGACTTGGGCCCCCTGCACAAGGCAAAGTTTTTTGCAAGTTAGGTAAAATGATGGAAACCCAAAAAAGCAAAAAGGTAAGCCAAGTCTGGCATTGCCAACGGCCTTCGATTCAAGACTATTCCTTTGCCGGCATTGTCTCCTCCGGCATGCGCACGCCTCGTTGTCCGCCCGGGGCGGCGGCGGCGGATCTGCGGGCGGCGTGAGAAACTCCTGACGAGAGACGAGCACTGAAGGAAAACCAAAAGGAAGCCGAACCCAAACCTTCCGTGGCCATAGGGGAACAAAGAGTATATACCTGTTGTTTGGTAGCTTAAAGAGAACCCCCTCAAACAAAAGAGAGAAAGGTGCAGGGGGGTTGGGTGGAAAGGTTGTGTTCCCTTTCTCCAGGCACAACAATCACAAACCGAAACGGGCGAGGGGAACAACCCTTGTGATACCAAAGTGGGTGATTCAACCAATCCCTGCGGCTGTGTTGATTTTCCCCTCCAGTTTTGCTCCAAAGACGCTCTCACGAGGGCAGAATGTCACAATGTTGGCTGGATGAAAACCACTGGAAACCATGTCATTTGAAAGCCACAGGAAACAAGATCATGTGACCAACTAACCAGCTTGTGGAATCCCTGAGGGAGATAGGTACACGTCGGGCGGGTACTTAAGAGCCTGTTTCGGGTTCTCTAGGGTTGCTTAGGGTTCCTTAGGAGTCATTCGGGATCAAACCCAATGATCCCATTTCCCTGCGTAGTAGGTAACCAAGGGAAGCACCCTCTACAAACCAACTGGACATTGCAGCTTACCTATACTTGGAGTCTCCATGACCCTAAGCAACTGGGTCCATAACCCCTGTATTTTGGGTACTGATCAACCATTTTGTAGGGGTCAGAAAAAGACTCCAGGAAGATGGAAGTGAGTCCCAACTTTTTGCCGGAATGCCACTACGGCAAGTCCCCAAGTCCCCAACACCTGGACTCCCAAATGGGACGCATCCACTTTTGTCTGGCCTTACCAGGGAGTTCTTAGACTTTCATCACGATATTGGACGTTGGAAGCTAGAAAGTAACAAAGTCTATGAACTGGAAGCTGACCATAATTGGAAATTTAATTAGCTATAGTGAAAATACCAAACATTTGAGAATGACAAAAGGAATCGGTCCATTGGGGGTCCAGGCCTACTTAGATGGTCTGGGGGTTGGCTAAATGGCTAGTAACCCTGGTTGTAACCCACTTACAATCGTTGTAAGTCCCCTGTAACCAGCGTTACTAGCCATTTCGCGATTCGTCCCAGACCTGGAGTCTCCATGACCCTAGAAAACTGGGTCCGTGACCCCTTTATTTTGCGTAGTGACCAACCATTTTTTAAGGGTCATAAACAAACAACAGGTAGTTTGAGAGTTCAGGTACCCACCAAAACACGACATCTTTTTGAGAACTCCCCCAGATTCGCGCGCCCTCCTCCTAGCGAACAATTGGTACTAGGTACAATTCGGCCAACAAAACTCTAGGAAACGGTTTGGATGCGCCTTTTGTGGATTTCACCGGTTCCCCCGGTTGGTCCTTTTTTACTACTCTTCTAGTAGTCTTTTAACCTTCTACAGGGGTGGAACCACAAAAACCACATCCAAACCGCTTTCTAGAAAAACACCCGCAGCCCGACAGCTCCAGGCCTCCGCGTCGTAGAGCTGAAGCTCCGGTGCCGGGCCCCAGAGCAGGCGCGCCGTGGCGTGCGGCTCGGACCAGTGGTTCCTGGCGCCGGGTTTTCTCAGATGGATATGAGGCGGTTTTAGTCTTTGGTTCAAAAAATCAGGGTTCCATTTTGGGTACGCATTTTTGACCCACAGCCAGATGCCCAGTGGCCATGGGGAAAAAAACAGGGCATCTTTTTTGTGTTGGTTCAGTTTAAAAGGCAACCCTTACCCCCAAAAAAAGGGCACCTCTGGGCAACAGAGTTTTGCCCCAAACAAAACGGCCGGGCGGAGGAAAAAGCGTCGAAGATCGCACAAATTTGGAGGTGTTTGAAGCCCCACGTGGTGTTGAGGGTGTTCAAAGACCTGTAAAAGACGTGACACCCAGAAACAACAACACCATGGTTCATGGTCTTTTGGAAGCCGTCGGCTGCAGGTGTTGAACGACTTATGAACCGGGCCCCAACGCCCATCTAACTTTAGCTCCTGACAGAGCGTGTTTCGCGCTAGGCGGTGATGCAGCCAGGGGAGTCAGGGAGTTGAGTGCCAATGGCTTCCTCCCACATTTCTTTGTGGTTTTTGATCAAGCGGAAGCAAAGGCTCCCCCATACAGTGTCTCCGAACTGGGGCAACAATAAAACTTCACGAAAGCATTGACAATTTGTCGGCCCTGAAAGTGGCCTTCTCAAGCACAGGTGTCCTCAGACAATGTGACGACCCGCCGGATCCGAACAAAACCCGGAAAAAGCTGACCAAGGGCGACTGAGATTCAGGGCTCAGTGCATCGGCCCCTGAGCTACGCAATCAAGTTCCCTTAAGCCCAGTGTCTGGGTTCGTTGAAAAGAAAATACATTTCCGTAAAGGTGAGTAACTTTCCTGGAGTCAGAGAACTCCAATTCAGCAAACAAATGCGTTCCCGTGCCGGTGGACCCAAATAGAACTATAGAAGGCAAAAGGCAATTTTCCTGTTAGTCGTTGAAAGGGCGATTGCATTTCTTTCCTACCCTATGCACGTAATTACATGACATCATTGGGATTACCTGTTTATATCTGAGTCACCCGCTGGGCTGGAAAAAAAAAGGAAAGCTCGCCCTCATTTGCCAGAAGGGGAAAACAGGCTTCCAGGCGCCCGGAAGGTTTCACCACCACATCCACCAAGGGAAATGTCTGCTAAACCTCTGTGGGTTTGGTTGTTCTACCTGGAGTCAAATCGAATGCTTCAACTCTACTTGTTCACAGATGCGACCCACAAATCAAAAGTGATCACCCGTTGGGGCCATGACAAAAAACGGGCCAAAAAGGCGAAAAAGGTCAAAAGGTCCTTTGGGCAAGTGAGTCTTGGAGTACCACCAAACAAAATTGTCGGGAGATATCTCCAGGCCAGCTGAAACTATGGCTGAGGGAAATGGACATTCAGACAACACCACTCAATTGGTCAGGGGTTGACTGTCTTTGGTAGGTCAAGGATTATCCCCCACCCCGCTGGAGGCACTCACAAACACAATTTCAAATAAAGATCATTGAACTCGGGCGAAAAATCGTGTACCTTCGGCTCGAACTTGGCCTCGTTCAACAATCTAACAGCTGCAGTTGAATAGTGCACAAAATTCAGCAAGGGCCAACATTTTCTCTGCAAGTTAGATCGCGACTTCACCGCACAGCTCAGGGTGCTTTGCATTTGTTTCATGTATGCAAGCAACTTGACTGTTACTGGTACCTGTTCAGATGCGCTCACTTCGTAGACCTTTAAAAGTAGCAGTTTCACTTTCAATCACACCCGCAAGAAAACTGATGAATCCAAGGGAAACTCCTGTGACCTCTGACCTCTTCGGACCTCCAAACACCCTGGCGCGATAGGTAGACAGCCCCAACGCGGCGCGCCTCCTCTCCATGGCAAGGCACAGGAGATTCAACTGGTGCCTTGCAGACGGGTGTTGGGCTGTGGCCTTGGGGCGTTTCAACCAGGATTTCTACTGTGGATGGACCAATGCCTGCAGCTGGGATGCATGAAGCCCCACAAACCATGGGGCAACGTCCACCAGCCACTTTCAAGGGGGGGGGTCCCACTGAACTGCATAGGCTGTTGTTAAACCTGGTTGCTCCAGCGACCCTGCCACACAGCCCGAGCATTGAGGATTTCCAACATGGTCAACAAATCATGTTCTGCCTGAAAAAGTGCAAGGTACTTGTTTTTGCGGTGGGTCTAAAGGGGAGCACAAGGGAAACCGCCACTTCAGAGTCTCCAAATCTTATTTGAGACAAACACAAGCGAATGGCGAAACCTCTAAGTTTTGCATCGTGGCGCCTTTTGCCAACTGGAATCTCACCGGGGATGACCAGTTTTTCAGATGTGTGATGATCCAGGTGGGGGTTGATCAAAAGGTCCTTTACATGGGATGGCCATTGGGGGAAACCACTAAAAACATACTATTGCCCGCTGGATGATATTGATCAACCCCCACAGCAATCCCGTGTTGGTGTCCCTTTCGGGTGAACCGATTCACTTTGCCCCCAACCAATCCCCTGAACATCGCATGCCACCCGTCACGTTCATGGCGACATGGGATGGCACGGAAGTTCGCCAAACCTGCTGGGACTCATGACTAGGTCCTCCAGTAGAGAGGTTAGAATAAGGGTACCTTTTTTTTCTCTGCAGTCTAATTTAGTAGGGGAGCGCTCCCCCAAAAAAGGGTAAAAGGGCGCTAGTGGGGGACCTAGATGAGTACGAAGCTAACTTCCTGTAGGCAAGGAAGGGCCTGCCTGCCCTGAGCTCATGTCCCCCCGGATAGGTGCACGTGGACAGTGGGACAATCACAGGCTCCGAGTGGATGGCCCCCAAAACAAGTCCAGTTAGTCAGGGCATACTCAGTCGCGCAGCCAAAAGCGGCCGCAGCTGAATCAGCAGGTGCCCGGAGTGAATCAGCAGGGTGTCTATATTTGGCTTGGGCACCAATAGGGTCGCCAGTGAATCGGATTGCTGACGTCGCCCAAAAGGGACTACGTCACTAGTTAGCGAACGATGCCAACTGCGAGCAGCTACTTGTAAGCAAGAGCTGCCAAAAGCAATCTTGTGAACCACTTGCAAAGTCCTTTTTGGTTGTTTTGGTGGAAGAAATAGATGGCCCTGGTTTACCTGGTGGTTTCATCTACCAGGGCCATCTATTTGCCCTAAAAGGACACCTATGTCTCCGAGGACACCACCAGATCCCCTAAGCATTGCCGTGCAAAGAGGCCTGCCATTCGCTAAGCGGCCCTTACTGGCAGCTGCTCTCGCGCTGGCTTTCTCACGCAGGCTGCCTCCATCCGGGGGAAAGGGCGCGCTTTGGAGCAACCTATGCTCAGAGAGTTTCATCTCGCGCAGGTTGCTTTGTGCTTGGCGCCCTCTGAACTCGGCGTTTGGCGAATCTTATTGCCGGCCTCTGCCCCAAAGCGGGGATTCCTTGCAAAATCGCAGCACCCTCCGAGCGCCCACGCCCTACACGGCCAGGAGCCGCCAGCACTGCGCCTGGACTTCGCGGAGCCTACCACCCCCCACAAGACCTCCAAAAAACAACCGGATTGAGGCGGAATGGCTTCGTGCTGGTCTTCGATGCGAATCGGCTTTGGAACTGCACTCGGACTCAGTTTGAACAGTTTTTGGATGATTCGAGGTCGGGCCAAAAGCAAAGGCGGCAAACCCGAAATTTCCTTTGCCCCAGCGCGCTGGGCAAACTACCGCTGGTATGCGTAACCTCCAATCGGTAAGCTCAAAATAAGCGAGCAGCCTCCCTCATACTGTGGATGAACCACCTGAGAAGCCCTGGAATATCCTGAAATGACTCGGCTCCCCTGTATATACCAATAGTGTCAACCATGGTTTCACACGTCGTCAAGCCGATCCGCTGCTCACTATGGCTGCAGGCCCCGTCGGCGATGCGTCACTCAGCATTGCTGCTTTGCTTGAACTACTTATTGTTGAAATCCTTGACCTCCAAGTGGGTATGGGTCAAAATTAAACCACCAGGGACCGCAGGTTCTAGTCATCTGGACCAGGTTCCATTTTGGGTACCTGTTTTTGACCCACAGCCAAGTACCCGTAGCGCAGATCACTTGAAGATTTGTGCGAGCGCGTGCTCGCAGTTTGAAGCCAATGCTCTTGCGCTGGACAACTGAAATCAGCTTGTCACTGGCAACCACACCGGCAGACGAGATTGCGTTGGCAACCGCGTTTATTCCCCGCGCGCAAAGTTTGTCTTTTGTTGGTTCGCAACCCAAAAGCAGACCGTGCTAAGAACTTCACTTCTGAGTGGATGGGCCAAAACAATCACCGAGCTTGTTGCTTACCACTAAAACGGTCCAAGCCCAAATATCGACTAAAGTCCGTGAACTCAAGAAGTGAGGTTCTAACAGCTCCCCAAGGTTCAAAGAACCCGTCTTTCTTTTTCTTTACCACTACAATGGTCCGAACCCCAAAAGTAAGTAAAGTCCAGGTGAGCCAACCAGGGGTTCGCTGACTTGGAAACCGAGCCAAACTAAACCCAGGCCCTGGGATCCCTCGCCCTTCACCTGTTCCATGAGCACCGGGCCAAAGAGTCGCTCCCCCGCTTCGATGAAGCTCTCCGAGAAGCGGCCCTGCCAAAGCCCAGGATCCGAATGACCCCACATGGACGGGACAATTCTCGGCGCGGGTTCTTGATTCTGATCCTTTATGAAAACAATACTTAGATGGTCTGGGGGTTAGCTAAATGGCTAGTGGTTGTAACCCACTTGCATAGCTTTCCTGTAGCCAGGGTTTCTAGCCAATTAGCGATTCGTCCCAGACCATCTAAGTAGGGGTGCTCCATGTTGAGCTTGCAGCAAGGTCACGCACCGTACCTAGTTTCACTGACTCGTTTGAAAAACAGTTCGATGGGTGGTACAGACGCTACGGGTAAACCGAAGCGGGCCACAAGCGGAAAGGGGTGTCCAAAAATTGGAGCAAAGAGCAATACACATTCCAAGTGAAGCAAACAGGACCCAAACCCCTCGATATGCAGTAGTTACTCTATGTCACAAACATGTCAAGCAATCATGGACAAATCCTGCTGGGCTTTTGCTTGCTCTGGCCTAACGTGAGCTCGCCATAGCACGTGCAAACAAACTGGGCATTTTGCAACTGGAAACAACAGATTTCCTTGAGCAAAACAAACTTCATGGGGCCCGCGCTCGTTTAACCCAGGTGAGCTAACAACTTGTTCAGTTTTCTACTTGTTTGTTGAGCAAGCTGCATATTTTTTCAGGCGAGCCGCAATACAAACCTGGCACTACTCACTGCCTGAGCGCAAATAAAAAGGTCTGAACTTCTCAACTAGAATGGTCCCAGTCCAAGCCCAAGAAGCGACTGAAGCCCATAAACTCAAGAAGTAAAGCAATCAACACTTGGCACAAAAGGACCCCACAGCTGCGGACAGAGCCCGCGCTTGCCGTGGCGAAGCGACCCCCCCTTCGTGGCCATTACACGCTGGGAAAAACAAAAACAAGTGGGCAAACACACCTCGGTGGGTGTTTTGTTTTTGAGGGTACCCTTTTGATTGCGGTTTTAAAAGGAAACCAACAGGAAAAACCAACACTTTCGGGAGTCCCCAAAAAACACATCCGCGGGATAGCAAGTCTTTAAGTTAAAGGATAAAGATCAAACCCTTAATAGCATCCAAACCCCCTTCTCTCTGCTGGCCTCCAGCATCATTGCCTTGGCCATCTTTGGGTTTTGCAAGGCCCTGCCGATCCTGGCAATCGAAATCGCATCATATTGATTGCATCATGGGACGGGCGGGCGGGTCTATCCAGAACAAGCTAAAGCCAAGGCTAAGCGCTCAAGGCCAGGAACCCCTCCCAATAGGCTCCCCGAGAGGTCCCACCTCAGAAAACCTCTCGCAACCCAAGGGATTCGAGAAGTTAGTGACATGAGCATATCTCCTAGCTCCGACCCTGGCTATTCACAAACCTGAAATGAGGAATCCCCCAGTCAGAAAAAACAGCGCTAACAATGCGTATGCTTGGGATTGTAACGTGTCATGAAATATACGTCCGATTGGTTGTTCCAGTTTTAGCCACCAGTGACGAATCAAAATCACAACTCTACCCTTGGTCTCGTGCTCCTGTGCCAAACCCTCGTAGATTTGGAGTTAAGTTGTGTGGTTGCCAAATGGAAATCATGACCACTTTCACGGACCACATGTGAGTTATGCGGGCAAGCTGGCGAAAGACCCTGCTCCTACACAGTGACTTGATTCACTCTAGGTACGCCGGCTGGAGAAAAAGACGAGAACGTTGGGGAACCCATCGGCCTCCATCCATAAATTCCCGACTCTCCATGGTGATCGACTGATGACATCTGCGGTCAAACAGCAAAAACACAAAGGCTGTTGAGGAAGCGGTGAATAACCCTGGCAACTCACTTGCCCCTGTTATAAAACCCCTACAGTTGGCTTAACCGTCTCTACTAACTTAAGACGCCAAGCGCCTCCAAAATCACCGTCAACCTTCTCCCTCGCCCTCTGCGAATCTGGCCAGAAGGGCGGCCAGTCAATCATCCGCTCAACCTCAGGATTTGCAGTCACGTGCAGGGATACTTGAACTGATTGCTGTAACGACCCCTCTGCAAAACAAAAACTTTTCGTGGGCTCCATGGAACACCCACTGTTTCCCTAAAAAGTTAAAAAGTCTAAACGATCCAAACCAGAAGCAACATTTGACCAAGTAATAAAAAAAATGATGCATTTCTTTGAAGCCGATTGATGTGGGTGATCCTGGAATTGAATCACCTTGCCCTGCCATAGCAAACAGTTCCCCTGACGCAACCCAAGAATAGGATAAACATGTGTCCTGAAAGAATGGAACAACCAGGTCATCTCGGTGAATCTATTTTGTGCCAAAACAACCAACAAGGGCACCTATGAGAATGAACCTTTAGTAGACAAATGCCCTCAAGAAGCCCAGGTATTCAGGGGGTAACTTGTTGCCACGCACTGCCGCATAAGTAGACGTTCCAAGGATTCATCGGTTTTCCCTGGGAAACGCCGGCTTTTGCCTTACAACCCTTGGTATGGTAGCAAAAAGCGTTGTTTGTTGCGCCCCCCCCCCCCCCACTCAAAATGAACAGAACCAAAAAACACCTAAACACATGCAAACAGCAGTGAGATTAGGACGTTCGGCCGTTTGCAAGTGAGGCCACTCTGGTTCTCTAACCTCACTGAGAACTGAACACTAAACCTGACTACATCTGACTACCAGGAGAAGGGTTGGATAAAGTGGAAGAAACAGGCGTTTCAAAGACTGGCTTTGGCCCTTCAATCAAGAAAGCTGGTGCTTAGCTCTGCTTGGGGACTTGCCAATGTGTCACTGTTCAACAAGCGGCATGAACAAGCCGCATGTCACCGTCGGGGCAATCGGGATGGTCTGGGTACTCCCTCTCAGCCTCTTTCTGGTAAGCAATGAATCCACGCAAGACTTGTTCTGGTTGTACATAACCAGCAGCTGGCCATGAGGCGCCGATCCGAATGTCAGGCAACATGCGGATGAAGTCCACTGCCACTGGTCATCTCTCAAAGTACTTTGATACATGATGTTAATCTTTCATCTCCTGCGCCAGTTTCCAACATATTGTCAGCACCAGTTTGAAATACAATGAGTTGCGCCTGGCCATCCCCATGTTCCGCCCCAGGCAACCAGCGAACAATTGTTTTATCATGCTCAGGTTTCCTGCGAGACATGTGCGTGCGTCTGTTTTGAGGGAACCCATTTTTTGGTTGCTCTAGAGGGGAACCAACAGGAAACCAGCCAACTTTTCTTGGGGGGTTCCCCCCAAAAAAACACCCATAGACACGGTTGATCATTTTTTGGCACTCGGGGTCACTTCGACTGAGAATCCCGATGGCGCCCATAGATGCCAACTGGATGCTGGCCGAAAAGGACAGTGGCGTCACAAGCAATAAACTACAGCGAAATCATACCCGAGGCTCATATAGGATGTTGTTTTGTTAAGAATCCTCAAATAGTTCATCTCCAACACCATTGTAACGAAGGTACCAAGTGAATGTCAATGGTCAAGAGAGTCAATAAAGATGAACTCAGAGAATAGGAAAGTGATGACATGAAAGTTTAGAATGAAAGGCATGTTATCTTTATGAGTCTCTAGACACAAGAACTTGGAAGCATTTATTAATTGGCTTCCTCTGGAGAATCCTACCTTCAGGAGCTGCCGCCGGCTTTTAAAGGCAAACCAAAAGGAAAGCCATCATTTTGGGGGGGACGCAAAAAAGACACATCCAGTTGGACACCTTTTCCTTGGGTCTGAATTGTATTTAGGGACCCTGGCGAAAACCCGCCAGTGCTTCCATTTGCTTCAGCCCCCTGGAATCCTGGAAGCAATCAATAAACCTATGTCCAGCAGTGATAGATCCCCTTTAAATCCAACAAGGGACAGCAAAGAACATCTATAGATAGATATCTACATATATATATATATATATACATATATATACATACATTCTCAAGCAAACGGAATCAGCATTCATAAGCCACTGGCTCATGCTTCAGGTGTCCCTGCGGAGGCCAGGTCTTTGAGTCCGATCTTGGGCTGCGTTTTCACCCCTAAAGCGAAAACGCGGCCTCAGCGCACTTGGCAAGCCAAGTGAAGACCAAAAGGCCATGGCGTTCCATTGAAAAAGACCACACCTGAGTCACAATCAAAACCCGGTACAAAAATGGTCTACCCAGAACCATGTAAAGAAATAAGGAGGCGGCCGCAGCTATTTATGGCTCGGATCGTTCCTTACTAACCTTCATCTACCCAGGTTTTGATTGTGGCTCACCTTCGGATTCTGAGAACCGGATGGCTGGGCTTCCAGGCCGCCTCCGAAAGGTTTTCCATGTCCCCCACCTGCGGTTTCTTCGTGGATTGGCCGGTGGGAAAGTGGCTGGAGTGTCCATGGAGTCTCCATAACCCTTAAAAAAGGGGTCCATAACCTGGCCCTGATTTTGGGTAGCCACCCATGTTGTAAAGGTCATAAGGAGACTCCAAGTATATGGAAGTCAGCCCAATCTTTTTGACGGCATGCCACCATGGCAACCGACCCCTTTGTGTCTGGCCTTACCATTTTGTGTGTCCACTGGGCAGACAAAAGGAATCGGTCCATCGGGGGTGCAGGATGCAACGCCCGAAACGGAACTCAATCTGTGATACCGAAGTGGAACTGACTCCCATGACAAAAAGTCACTTGAAGGAGGTTCCCTTATGTTCCCTTGGCACCGCGATTTGATGTCAAAGGGGCCAGTTTTTTGAAGGGATGAACTTGAGTGCTAGTGGTGCTGAAGGAAACAAAAAAGAGGTTAGTCAACAAGCACAGGCAAGCGACTTACAGCAGAGGGAAAATGGGTGCTTTACAAACAGGCTTACTCACCACTGTTTTGTTTTCTTGCAACCAAAAAAAAACCACCCTCGACATCAGGCCAAAGCAAGTTACCAGGCCATTGTGTTTGTTGAAATCATTTTTTCAACAGCCCGAGTTCTGGAGTCCACCATTTTTGGGCAACACCCGCGACGTGGTGTCAAATTCGACATGTTCAAATCCAGACCATGTCCATGTCTTTATCCAGCCACAAAAGCCGGCAAGCCGTTCCACAGAGAATAAAAGGACATATCAGAAAGGGGTCTGATCCGAAAAGGAAAAGGGACATCCTTCAAAGAATGGATTTCAGTGTCCAGCCGCCATAACACCCCGGCGCACGTCTTCTTGGGCTTTGGTGTCGCGTTACCACTAAAATCGTCCTCCCAAAAAGTTTCAAGTCCTGAACTCAGGGAGTGAGAACATGCCCATCGCTTGGTTGCTGTTGACCCCCCGTCAAAAAGTTTAACTTTTTGGGGGTTAGGTGGAAAACCCAACTTGATTTCAACCAAAAAGTCCAAGTCTAAAGATCCAACCCGATAGCAGTCAAGATCGTGCCCAGAACAGTTGACTTGTCTTACAATGTTCAGTTGTTTACAAGCCCGTTAAAATATGACATGGCGAACTCAGGGAGTGAGGGGCCATGCCCATCGTGGCCCAATTTCTTGCCTCCTCACCGGGCAAAAGCTGGGCGAGGTAGTGCGGTACGCAGCGTCTGGCACCAGTCGGCCAGTCAGCTCTCATTGGTTTGGACGGGCTCGGAGCTGTTCCGTGGGTGGCTTCCCGTTACACCAGGGGCTCAAACACCCAAAGCACATCCAAACCAAAAATGAAGGGTTCCCTGACCTAGGGTCCAAAGACCTCTTCAAGTCTTTGTTTGAGGTCTTTCCGGGTCAAAGGCCCTCCTATTTGCGGTCCGATCCTTGGCATGTGAGCAAACAGCTTGGCTTGTTGCAGCCTCAAGCGGAAAATAAACAGAACCCAAACCACTATAGAATTAAACAACTAAATTCAATTTGAACTAAAACAAACTAAAAGGCTTAACAACTCAAATAAAATGCCAACAAGTTTGCAGAGAGTGTACCGTTCAAGTAACTTCACATAGTGGTTCAAATCTTGGGTTTGTTTAGCGGCTCAATCATGGACATGATTGACCCATTTTCGTGCAGGTGCCTGGGAATCGGAAGTGAACCCCAGGGCTTGGTTCAGTGGATTGGCGCGGGCAAAACACATCTTGGAGGCCTAGGCCTACAATCCTTCTTTGAGGGAGTTGGTTTTGGGTTCCTGGCCTTCCGATGGAGTGGATGCAAAAGTAACCCAACTTTTTGCTTACCACAAAGATGGTCCCACCTCCCCAGCAACAAAGAGTGTCAAGCTTCCTGGGTGGATGGGCCGAAAAACAAGCCGAAACTTGTTGCTTACCACCAAAACTACCAAACCTGAAAGAGCGTCAAGTCGCCTTCAAAGACTCTTTCCGAGTCCATTGCACCCATCTGGGTATGGGTCAAACTTAAACCACCGGGGTATGCACCGCAGGTTTTCCTTGGTTCCAGTTACCAGGTACCCAAGTTTTGACCCGCCATTTCTTCTTTCCCTGGATGCGACGCGCGCCTCTCCAGGTCGACCTCCGCCACCGAGACATCGCCACGGTGGATCTCCCCCTAGGCCATCGCTTCATTTTCTGGCGAGGGTACCCAAAATTTTGGGGAGGGCTGTAGAGGGAAACCACAAGGAAAACCACAATTTTGGGGGATCCCCTGAAATATCCCCTAAAAATGTTGGGGAAGCGTGTTTTCTGTTGAGGGTACCCTTTTGGGGAGGCCAAACGGAAGACCATTTTGCGCATCTTGGGGGATCCGAATCCCTAACATTCGACAACAGCTGTTTTGAACCAAGAAAGGATGGACCGTGTGTGGCACCCACCCCACCCACCCCTCCCCACCCCACCAACCCAACCCACCACTCTGCCCAGCCCCCAACCACGCCTGCAAGCGCTGAAACTTTGCCAGCGCCTCCGCCAGCTTTGCGGCGGCCTCCTTGTCCTTGGCCGGGCAGGAACCAAGGGCTCGGCCATCGACCCGTTTGGGTCTGAGCCCCAAAAGCCAGGGGGTTGAGGGAGGGGGGGGAAGGGAGGGTGGGGGTGGGGCCAGTTTTTATATGCATCCCATAAAAGTATTGGGGAAAGCACAGCAACTCAGGCTGCAGCCCTCAGTTCCACCAAGTTCTCCTCCGAGATGTCGAAGCAGAAGCGGCACAGACCTAGCCAAATGGAGCCACACAATCTTGAGGCGACTGTGTTATGCTCAAAACTCCCAATGCCAAATTGCGTAGTTACCCTTGTAGAATTAGGTTTCGGGTTGAGCATTTTAGTGGGAAACCAACTATAAAAAAGGGACAAACGTGTGCCACTGAACAAGAGGAAACCTTGCTGTGATTCAATCCAACATCACTATCAGCACGTCAATCTGCGAATCTGGGGGAAGTCTGGGCTGTTCAACATGGAGGGTTGGCCAATCCATACTCCCTATGGGGAAGCCACTACAAAAGGGACCAAATCCTTGCGTACTCGATTGTAAGTGACAGTAAGGATTCAGGATTACCTTTGAACACCACAGAAAGTAGCAATCTCCACGAACCAGAGCTAAGGAATTCCCAAGTGAGGCACCTAGATTCATCATAAGCTCGTGATCCACCCAGGAGAGCTCGCTTGCATGCATTCCTCATCAGCGCCTCATTGTTCAATATGTGCTCTTCACTTGCCCGGAAGTACCTCATGGGTTTCAAAGGCGTTCATGCTAAGCTATCTTATTGCAAGCTCAAAGCCATCTAGGTTCTGGGTACTTGGGCCCTCTAGATGCTACCTCTAAACACCCAAATCACATGCGCATGGGTATGAGTTTTAGTGGTGGGCCCTTTGCTGCGCTGCACATCATTTGGCTGTGGCTCAAAAAAAGGTATCAAAATGGCTTGCCCTGGCAAGTGGAAACATGGACCAAAACCTGCGGTCTGCCCCTGTTTAATTTTGAGCCACACCCATGGTGGGAATTGATGACTTTGCTATTAACCATTGTAGCTTTTTGGATCCTCAAGCATTGTGGTTGTAGGATGCTGGTGGTTCATTTCCGACGTGGGTTGTTCTTCTGTCGGCTCCCTGGAGTCGCGGCTCCACACGTAAGCTCGGCCCCGATTCGCCGATTCGATTTCACGAGCCATTCACTTCAAGTCTGGGTCCACTTCATCTAGCTGACTGGTTTGACAAAAAGCAACAAACAAGCAACAAACGAACAAGCAAACAAGCCAACAAACAAACTCCATTCCCACAGCACGTACTGCTCAAAAAGGGCACCACTGGGCAACTGGGGGAGTGGTTGATGCTATATTCAGCTTCCCTCTGGTTGGTGGTTTGGTGGTTGGGTGTCCCATTAACCGCCATTCTGATGGGGGCTGGGGGGGAGGGAGGGGAGGGGGAGGGAGCCCAAATAAATACACCTAAATAAGGCCTTATGAGCTGGTAAACAATCATGGTAAACAAATAAGCAACAGCTGGCTCCTTCGGAACTCGCCTGAAATCACCAGGTGCACCACCATCTCCAAGATGCTTTGGGCATCCTCAACCATTGCCTGCAGCGTTGCAGGACATTTCACTACAAAACCGAATGCTCCGATGCCAGGAAACCAAAGGAAACCCTTCACCAATGGTCGATCCTTTTGATCGTCTGTGGCTCGGCGCAATCCCTAACCTGAGCCCCCGAATGCACGGCAGGCAGCAACCCAAGCGACACCCGATCTGGTCCGCAAGGGGATGTCTCTCAGAAGCGAGCATGCTTGGGCAATCAAAAAGTACTCAGATGCCCAGCGGCCAGGGGAAAAAAGGGGGCCTCCTTTTTTGGTTGGTTCCGCCACATTGCTCAAGACCCCACCCCCCCCAATTGGAGTGAGTGGAGCCCACATCCTGGCCGAAGCCAAAAATCAGGCCGTCCCAGTTGAAAGGGGAACCCTTTCCGGGCGCCACTGCGCAAGCGAGCGCATGTGGAAGTCCAAGTTCACATGTTATATCCCCCAAAAGATCGTGCCATGCAGCAAAAGGTGCTTGAAGCCTAAATAACGATTGCTCTTGCTTGAGGCTTGGTTGGAATTCCATCTTCATTTTCAGGAGAGCATCATTGCCTGCGGGGGAACTGGGTTGCAATTCAACATCGTCAACTGTGTGCTTCAACCAAAGTCGGCTGTCCAACCTCGATGGACATTTCATGTCTGCCTTTTTGGAAGGATCACATGGGATTTTTGCAGGAACTTGGGGGAGTTGATCCCTTCGATGGTGTCGTCGGCAACACCGCGTTTTATCATCCGGACAACACCGCGTTTTAGCATCCGACTCAATACTTCCTGGTTTCTCATGTTAGGGGGCTAAACAGGAAACTCAACTGCATCCTTCCAGTGAAACCATTGTTGGTTGCTATCTTCCGGGGAATCGGATCATTCCAGGTTTTCTGAACGGTGGTGCGAAATGGAATTTGCAACCATCAACAGTATCACTGGCAGCAATTCCCATAGCCCAGCCCCGTGCTATGCACGGTAACAATCGAGTCAAGTCCCCACGCTCGGGACTCTGGGCCCAACGAACGCGACTGCTTCCGGACAGCACTGTGTCCGGCGCCGTCCACATGGAGCCTTGGCCCCAGAACATACCAAGCCCAGAGATTCCCTGAATAGACCCCTACATGATCCCTGGACACTCATTGTGTGTGTGTGTGTTTCTGTGTGTGTGTGTGCGTGTGTTTGTTGTGTATACTTGTAATTTAGGGGGCCTTGAAAATGGCTTTGGCTTTCCTCCCCGTTCTCCTAAGCGCATCGACCATGCTGACCTTCCTCCTGGCTTCCCCTGAAATGGGATACGGAGCGCCTTGAGCGCGCCCGCGCGCGCCAGCAGCAAGGCCTGGCTTCTCAGATTCTGGGGCCAACCGGTCTTCAGGGAGCCGACACCCCCCCGCAGCCAAGAAGCATATTCCAAAAGCCTGAAATAATGTTAACCGCGGATTAATCAACCCCTGGTTGATTAATAGGGCGGTGTCCCCTTTTAGTGGGGATTCATCACTTTTGGAGGGCGGGTTTATTAATCCTGGGTGAACATTACTGCGGATGGTTGCGAAGAGAAGGAGCTGGGAGGCGGGAATGGCAACTTCTGTGATACTGTGGAAAATCCAGCCATTTCGCGCCACCGAACTCAGAAACCCGTGCTTTTGATGTCTTTCCCCAACGTAAATACCGACAAACGTTCTGGTTTACCCATGGCCTCAAAGTGGTGCAGGAAAACGTCCATCCACAGTACGGGAACTCCAAGTAGAGGACCTCCATGCTGAGTTTGAAGTAACCCGGATTGGCCAACCACGCCTCTTGGATGTTGCGGCAGTCGTCATCGAGCATCTCTCGCCTAGAGCGCGGCTCGCGAAACACTCAGGGGTCAATGTGGCTCGCTAATTTGCGAGTGCCCGGCTTGCTGCGGCACTTTTAAGTAACATAACTTGGCCCATATCTGAGCTACACCAGAAATCACAATCTCTGGTTCCGTGCCATGTCTGGTCTACCCTAAAAAAGGCCGGTCATGAACTACCGGATATGTTGACCAAGCAGCATAATGGGGACTGTCCCCCAGGAGCTGGGCTGAAATGTGTGCTGCTTGAGGGATCCAAGGTGTGTTGGAAGGACTAACAAGTCATTGCCAAAACCCCAGTATCCGAACGGACAATGCATCCCTTTACGCTGCTATTTAAAACAACCAAGCTCGGGACCTCTACATGGAGAAACCACATGAAGGAACACCAAGAGGGCAAACAAGCAAACAGGTTGCCTCAGTTTGGCAAGGATGTTCAGGGTTTCCTATTCTTCCTGTGTAAACTTCAGATCCTACAGGAAACTCACCGGCCAAATGGGCCCAAATGGTGAATTAAGTTCGAAACCATCCAAAAGCTTCAAATAAGGGAGACCCCGGTGTAGGTCAGGGAAAGGCCAACCAAATGCTAAAACATGCTTAAATGTTACTTTCCAACCCTTGGTATAGTAGCAACAAACTGTGCTTTTTGCAGCGCCCTACACAAAATGATCAGACAATAACACATGCCAACCACCGTGAAGTAAACTACTATAGTTCGAAGAACACCCTTTTGCTCTAGTTGTCCAAGCTCTTTTTTACCCCCTACAAAACAGGGACCAACCCCCTTTCCGAAGCGCAGTAGGGGCTGGTTGTTCAACTCACTTCCTGCATGGATGGGCCGCGGGCCAACAAGAAGTAACCAATAATTGTCGTTCACCACAAAACCTCACTTGCTGAGTGGATGGCCCAAAAGAAGTCCGAACTCTATATTTACCACTAAAATGGTCCAAACCCCCAAAAGCTTAAAGTTCATGAACCCAGGAAGTGAGACGACTGGCCCAAGCCCCAAAAGCGTGACGATCAAGTCCATGAACCCCGTGAAGAAGTGTCACGTTGACCCTGGATTGAGCAGAACCCCTGGTTGATTTTGATTAATAGGGGTGCTTTTCCCCGGTTAGTGGGGATTCAGACCACTTTTGGAGGGAACACCCCCTAGGGTTCATGAATCCTGGGTCAACATTATCTTTTTTCTGATACCACCTTTGGGTGGAGTCATGAACCCAGGGAGCGAGGCGTCCGCTTCCGTGTCGCGTCCACTGCCGTCGTCGCTTCCGGGCCCCGCGCAGCGCGATGGCGTTGCTCACCGCCGTCTCCAGCGAGCTGAGCTGCTGCCGGTTGTGGTCTGCACGGGTCGCGAGGCTCGGTGGGGCGCCCAAGGGCCGTAAGAGAAGCGAAATGGGGAAAGACCTGGACCCGAAAGAACCACACGCAAAAAATGGAAGACATTTCAATGGGACAGTTCACCAACCAGAAGTTTGGGCAGCAATATCCCATTTTGAAGATGAAATTTTGAGGGCTTAGGAAGACCTAATGTGGACCTGGTGGACCGACCCCTTGTCAAGAGGTGATGGCAGAAACCCACCTTTAAGGATCGAGGCGTGTGGAGAAAGAGTTCGACTGAGGGAGATCGATTTGATGCCGAAGGCAACTATGATCGGCCGGTGCGGTTAAGTGGTGAAACCTTTTCTTTCTGGTTGTCCATGCATACCAGGCCCAAGCAGAAGGGTGCTTTGACCAAGGCACATATGCGCGTGGTTGTTTTTTTGAGGGCACCCTTTTGGGATGGACTTTAGGGAAACAAAGAAACACCAACCTTTTCAGGTTCCCCTAAGAAGTGATTCAACACTCGGGCGAACGTTTCCGCGCATTGAGATCTGACAAGGATTGAGAGCCAAATTTGGGCCCCCGGACCAATTCATCGAATGTGCCTTGTGACTGTGGGGCCCTGGGCTTAAGCCTACCTTGAAGTGTCCCAACAAGTCACTTGCCCCAAGGAACCAAACATAATAATAAAAGGCTACCGTTGCGGGCCATGACTAAAAATGAGCCAACAAGGCTAACTAAGACTTCCATTTGCCCTTCTTTAAAACCACCAACCGGTTACGACTGATATAACACATCTTTGTAGTCAAATGGAAGAAAAGGTCAAAAAGGTCAGCTCCGTGAGACAAATTCAAAGCCGACTTCTCGCCAAAGCCTGCGGCCAGTTGCAGCCACGCCAGCACCTGCCGCGCCGGGCCCTCCGGGCAGCACCTGACGAGAAGCTTCCGCCAGCAAAGGGTTCGCTGCGAACTGGCCTTTCCAGGAAAGAAGGCCACTACACAGACACTTGGTAACTCCCCGCAAGTGAGCAAAATCCAACTTTGTCACGCTGCCAAGTTGCAACACACACACACACACACGCGCATCAAACAACAATAGGTACCCGCGCCAATAGGAGCCCCCTGCGTTTCTGGCTCAGCAAAAACACCTGGAAACAGCTGTCGCACAAACCATGGACAAACAAACCCTTAGTGTTTGCCAACACGACACAAGACCCTGCCAATCCCTGCCATCTGCACCTCTCTGCGTCAGCTTTTGTCCATGGTCCGTGCACAAAGTTTCGATCTGCGAAGCTGCAGCTTACTGTGCCCAAAATTGAAGAAGGACTTGCTCGGTGCCCTGAATACTGAAAAACTACAAGGCGCAAAGTCCCAGCTTGCTGTGCCCAAATACAACAACGGACTTACACGCATCACACATGCCTAGCCTGACGCACGTTCCTACCTTGCTGTGGAGTTGTTGTTTCCTGTTTGCTTCGTGAGTGTCAATCCCTGGGTGCTAACTCACAAGCCCGCTCCCATGCCCAGCCCAGCCCATGTCGGTCACGTTGAAAACTGCCAAAAACGCAGGGTCCTACAGGTGCAGGTACCAACAACAAGAACAACTGGCGCTAACAACAAAAAAACAACCTACAATTGCAAACCAAGATCAGCTGGTTCAAACAAAAAGGAACCACATTCGGTCCTCGGGGTACTCATCTTCCAGCATGTCCACGGGTTTTCGGGGCGGTTTCAACCTACTCACTTTTTGGGCCATAAGCGCCGGGGATGGACACTGCTTGTGGGAGATGGGCTGCAAAGTGAGGGGTTAGTACCCCAGACAACCAGTAGCCATGAAAAAAACAGGGCCCTCCATCAGCCCTGTGTTTGATCAAATCGGGGGGCCAGCCATTTTGTTGATAGAACACCCACGGAACCTGTTTGACATGTGGTGTTGTCTTTTTCAGGGTACCTTTTTGGGGCTGGGTTTGAAGGGAGACCAAAGAAAGCCCACTATTATTATTTTTTTGGGGGGGTCCCTATTTAAGACACACCCATGACCCCCCTCTTTGCCACAGCAATATGTGGAGCACAGGAACATAATGGACTCACCTCGAATTGGCTTGGGTTGGAATGATGTGAACATGAGAAAGATTCCCACAAACAAATCCTGGAATCCATTCTGGGCATAGACTGGTTTTTTTAGGGGTTGAGGGTCACTTCAGGGTGCCTTGGGTTTGGGGTGGTTTTGGGGGATTCGGACTTTCAACGGGCAACTTTTCCCATTTAGTGGGAAATATGAGAGTTTTTTTTTAATGGTTTTCCCCAATGGTCACCCAGGACCTTTTGATCAACCCTCGTCAGGAGACTCTAGGCACCCTCTTAAGCATGGAAGCCCGCAGAAAGCCAAAACCCCTTGCAATGATTCCAGGATTGGCCTGGAATCCTGGTGAATAAGTCACTGAAGTAAGGGGGTCCAAAAAGCTGAAAGCAGAAAAAGAAACAACAAAACTTCCGACTTTCTTCATCCACCCAGCCCGCCTTCTCGAAGAAAGGCGATGGCATTCCAAGCCATCAATATGGCCTTCCCATTCCTGGCAGAAAAGATCTGATGAAATCCGACAACCTGAAATCCGCCTCGGCAAGTCCTAACATGGAACCAAAACGGGCGTTCCGAAAACGAGGATTCGTTCGGTTCCTAAATGTGCTGTCTTTAGGGGTCCATGTGGGTTGAAAAAAAAACCCGTGGACAACCCTTGTATCCTTTTGCCTCAGTATCGGTCAGTATCGGTTTTTTCCCTCTGCATCGGTTTGCAGTGTTTTGGCAGCTCTGGCTCGAAAGTCGCGACTTTTCCGTACAAGTGTAGTATGCGAAGTACACTCTGCCAGCTCCCAGCCCCAGCTGGAAATGGCAACTTTCAGTACAAGTGTAGTACACAAAGTACATTTTGGCAGCTCCAGCTGGAAAGTAGCAGCTTTTCAGTAGTATGCGCAGGACACTTTGGCAGCTCCGGCTCGAAAGTCGCAGCTTTTCAGTGCAAGCAAGTGTAGTATGGTGTAGTATACGAAGTACATTTTGGCAGCTCCACAGCGGCAGTCGCAACTTTTCAGTACAAATGTAGTACACAAAGTACATGTTGGCAGCTCCAGAGAAGGCTGCAGGGCAGCTGGTTGGATTCGGCATGGCGGCCAATGAGTTGGGTATCGGTTGGGTATCGGTTTGGGTATCGGTTTGGGCCCTGCAAATTTATGATTCCGCAATCTTGGTTTGCGACAACAACTAGGACCTGATGTGTGTCTTCATGGCTTCTGGGGGTATCGGTTATTTTTCCTCTGTATCGGTTTACAATGGTTTTGGCCTGCGAAACAAGTTAAGGGACGGCCCCTTACATAACGAAAAGGCGCGGGGTATTTTTTTCAGCCCATTCTCCGCGAAAAGGGATCCCCTATGAATTTTGAAGGGGCCCGAATCAAACAAGCCACAATATACGCAAGCAACTCCCCACAGTTGCAGCAAACAACACAAACAACACGACACAACCGCACGATCATGCCGGCAAGGATTCATTCCCCGCGCGCGAGGGCTCCACACAGCGAATGACGGCAAGGAAGCAACCAAGCAAACAAAAAGCACAATGCAAGTCAAACAAACCAACCAACCAACCAACCAACGAACAAACAAACAAACAAACAAAGAAACAAACAAACAAAAACAGCAGCGCAACAAAGACAGAGAGACAGAAATAACACACACACACAAACAAGTACTTAGCAACATACATGAACAAACAAACACAGAAAAACGAACATGAACAACATCATTATACATAAGCAAGACCAAACAAACAAACAAACAAACAAACAAACAAACAAACAAACAAACAAGCAAACAGGAACAACAACATACATACGCAAGACAAACAAACAAACCAACAAACAAACAAGCAAACAGGAACAACATCATACATACGCAAAACAAGTAAATAACAAACAAACAAACAAACAAACAAACAAACAAACAAACAAACAAACAAACAAACACACAACCACACAACCAAACAAACAAGCAACTAAACAAACAAGCGAACAAACAAACACGCAAGCAAACACAGAAATGACAACATAGATTAAGACAAAACACACATAGATGAATAACTATCTAACAAACAACTAAAGGCATGAATAATGACATAACTATAACAAAGAACAAACCATGAAACATGTCTTAAACAAGCAAGCATAATTCATACTGACATAAAGACATAGAAACAATAACTACATACATAAATAACGGAAAACACACTAAATACAAAAACCCAGAACTAACACCACACACACAAACAAACAAACAAAAAACAAACAAACAAACAAACAAACAAAAAAGCAAGAAATAAACAAACACACAAGCGCACACACACACACAAACCGAACCAAACCCAACCAAACCAAACCAAACCCAACCAAACCAAACCAAACCAAACCCAACCAAACCCAACCAAACCCAACCAAACCAAACCAAACCCACCAAAACTCTACACACACCAAGCAACAGAACACGCGCCAAACACGAACCGCAAAACCAACAACACGAATTCTCCAGGAGGCGGGCCTGCCTGGTCCTGTCTTAACTCCCCGCTCGCTTGTCAGCCACCTGCCTCCGTTTCCAAGCGCGCCACCTGCCGAAGCTGCTGCGCGCGGCAGCTGCCGTGCAACTCCTGGCGACGCATGTGGAGTGTGCTCCTGGTGAAAAGTTTTCCAGCTCTATAGATCTGAGTTAACACTGCGGATGGAGGAAATCCTGCGCCAGTTTCAAAGTGGTGCAGGATTTCGTCCATCAACAGCAGGAAGTTCAACCAGCAGTTGCTTAACCACATTTCACCAAGGGGCTGACCCAACCCTACCTGCTCTTGGTGGCCAATGACCTCTGCGAAATTCTATCTTTTGTTGGTTAGTGAGAAAGCACACATTGACATTGACATGATCCCAGCAAGTCAAAGGCTAAGAATCCAGCCAGTAGCAGCCAGGTTACTATATTTCAGAAAACTCAAATAAGGAGGTGATATTGTCTTTCTACAAATAAGCTCGCTCTGACTTCGGCAGATCCATCCAAGAGGTTCAACCAGTTTTAGAAGTCACCGGTGCCCTGGACAAAGTCAGTTTAACCAATTACAGTGCATGTCCTAAAATTACAAGTAGGGAATAAAGGCAACCCTGAAAAGTCCCATGGTTTGTGGATTGTCTACTTGCAATATTCAAGGCATCCACCACACCTCTTAGCAAGTCCCCCTGCTGTTGCGGAAAATGCTTTGTTTGTTAGGTAGGCCTGTTTCGTCCCGAACCCCAAATCAAACTGGACACATCAAGGCTGCCAGTGTGAACCGAATATGGGCGTGTCTGTTTTTAGGAGACCCCCATTGCCATAGGCCCCACGTGGTCAAGGGTTCACTTTTGGTAACCTGGTATATACTCAGCCTTCGATAAGGGCACAAGACGGGCCAAGTACCTTGGAAGAATGCGCGTTGACCCCTATGTTTGCCCCTCTGAACCTGCTTTGCAATTCTCAATCGTACCCAGTTGTTGTTTCTTCCAATCCAAGCCAGCCGCCGCTCCGCCTCCCCATAGGCCAGGAGAGGTGTGAGCAGCACGGCGCGCAGCATGGCGGATGGGCCGATTTGGGGTTGGGGGTGGGGATGGCGCTGAGTGGGGTGGGGTTGGGTGAATTTTGGGGTGAGGCCCTTGGGTTGTCCACGAGTGGCTTTCAAGTCATGGGGCCAATTTTCTTTGGGCAGATCTACGTTTGGGGTTCTTAGAGGTTCCAAGTGATCCAAAAGGTTCCCAACAGGTTCCGAGGCTTGAAGGATTCCGCCGGAGTTCTGAAGGTGCTTTTGCAGAAGCATTCCGCAAACAATAAATAAGCTTAACTTCCACAACAAAACTCCGAAAACTGGAATTTGTTCCTGCATGTGTCTACATTCACAGCCATGGGACAGGCCTATTCAAATGGTGCAAGCCTGTGGTGTGTCCGAGAAGCTTGCAGTCATATATGCAAATGGAATTTAAGTCATGCCAAACGCAAGGGACTTCTGGATCCATGTGGATGGACACTGTCCTGCACCAGTTGACAGGTGTGTCCCATAGACCTTCATCCATCCCAGGTGGATTGTGTCCAACGCAGCGGCGGGTGTAGGCATCTCCTGAGGCTTCCAAACTGAGAAATGAGAGCCAAACGGTGGGGCCCGGGCTTTCTGTGGGTGCATCAACAAGGCCCCGCCCAAAACAAAAGCAGAAAACACAACAGTGAGGACACACTGTATGCGCAACACAACTTTTCAGATGCTCCATTGCACTCATACAGGCACTTGGCACTTCCGTGCTGAGCCAAAAGATCGCGCGGGTAGGCTAAGGCGCAGGGGGGGTGGCAAGGCCATTTGACGTCACACTGAAATTCGCGTAACTACCCCTCAAAGTTCAAGCCTAAACCCAGGAGCTAAATATTTTAACTTCCTGAGTGGATTGGCTGGACAGGTCCAAACTGTTTGGTTTCCAGTAAAACGGCGAAAAACTTAAAAGGTCTGCCCACTGGTTTCTCGCTCGTGACATTTCGTCGGACCCGACGGTGTGGTGACCAGCCCCCGAAGAAAGCAGCCGGAGGCCAGGTCTGTTACAAGTGGGTGTGGCTCAAAATTAAACAGGAGGGGCTACGCATATTCCGGTCCATGTTTCCACTTACCAGGGCAACCCATTTTGGAATTCCGGTTTTTTGAGCCACAGCCAAGTGGTTTGGAGCCCTTCTGTGGTTTGGTTGGTTTTTCATTTGGCCTCAAGAACCCAAACCCAAATTTCCCCGAACCCAAGGCCTCACGGTGAGAACCATCTTCAGAAGCGCTTCATTTGTTTGCTTCGGTTTCAGCCACTGAGCAACAAAAACCAAGCCAAGAGAACTTTGAACAGTTAAATCTTGATGTTGACAAGTTGACAAGTCAAGCCACCAAAGAACTCAACAGCGCCAACAGCTCGTCCACTTGCGGCTCAACCAACCTGGTCAAGGAGCTATACAACCATCATTACAATCCCTGCTTAACGAAGTACTAGGGCCTGAAGAATCTATGATCATGAAAACAAAACACCATGTACCCCAACATTCTGTGCTGTTCAGAATGGACTGCCGGTACATGTTTGGGTTTTTTTCTTCTCAAAATAGCGGAACCCCCAAAGTGGAAAAACACTTTCCTTTTGGTTCCCCTCTAAGTCAGCAAGCCAACTTAAGAAAGGGTATTATCAACAAATACATTGCTGCAAATCCACGATCCAAAGTGGACCAAACGGGTGTGTGTGTGTGTTAAAATAGGGGTGCCATGGGTGCCCAAAAAATGGTGGTTGTCCTTTTGGCTTCCGTTCAAGACCCACCAAAAAGAGGGGCCAACTCAGAAGCCCCAAACGCGTTGACTATTGGTTCCGCTAAGCAAACTAGAGATAGGATTGTTGTGAAGGTGTGGAAATATATACATACTGTGGATGGTTGCGAAATCCATTTCGCACCACTTGGAATCCATGGTTGAAACCAT